ATGATATACGCAAGATATTTTTCGAAAATGTCATATTTAATAGCAAATCGATTATAAATTCAGAGTTAGGCGTTCAATAAAGAACAGTAGTTCCAGGGACATTCGCCACGTCACAAATCTCGATACTCTAACAATTTAACAACATCGTTTAGATATCTGCAGCTATATTGTATATTACTCAATCAATCCATTTATAATTTGGAAAATTTCGACAATTGTATTTGTGTAGATTCCCACTCTTATTATATTCTCTTTGAATTAACTATTTTTACTGACACTTTCATCTTTTTTTGTTCTTTTCCTTCATATAATTTGAGTGAAAATTATGTAATTTGTGTGAAAATAGAAAAACAGTGATATATGAATTTAATTATGATTACTTTTATATCCATAAATTAAATGCAAGAGACTATGTTCTGTCAACTCCGTTTAATCTATATGATTAAAAGGAACATCAAATATATCCATTAAAATCAATCAAACATCAAACCATTCAACCTGGAATTATTATTTTTGCAACAACAGTCAAAGATATATTTAAATTATTCTGTTTGCTCTTTATTGCGCTCATAAACTTATTATTTCATTCCTGAAGATGTCCAAAAAGTGACAGTCACTGATGCAATAACATCCTTATCGCGAAAGGCAAAATCAAACCTTGAACCGCTCAACGCTGTGACCCGTGCCCCGCCGGTCGGTGGATGAGTGCCCTACTCCGGCCGGTGGGGTGGTCCTCCGGTGTCAACGGTCGACCGTGTTCGGTGGCCTCGGTATAGTTCGCCGTATGTCCAAGCGTTCGAATCGTATCTCTGATGTCGCGATTTTGAGAAATATTACATTTGAATAAAATGGAAACCATTCCAAGTTAACAAAGCGATTTTTTCATTAAAAAATCTGCGCATTTTGAGTTGCGCTAAGAAAACTACGCATCCGAAAAAAATATCCTACATCAAAGATTAGTTTCTTGTATCTAAAAAATGTGCGTAAAGTTGCAAGGCGATCAATCGAAACGTTTTCGAAATGTGTGATATAGTGATCACTCATTTTGAAAACCTCTATCGACAAAAATGCGTTAAAAGTTTTATATTTTATATTTAGTTGACTATATGAAAATATTAACATTTTACATTTACACTAATTTATCCACTCCAAAATTATAAAGTTAACCTTTTACAGATGTTGCCTCCAGAAAAAGATTTTTCTGTTTTTCCTTATGGCCTAATCCTTCCATCTTCGCGCTACTTATTAGCGCGCAATTCTGCTTTCTGTATGTGATGTTCGTCTCCTGTAGCGACTTATGTATGCACATTCGAGTTTACTAATACTTGCGCAAAAGATTTGTAATAAAGTTCTTCCACCTTCATTGAACGTACACATAGTAAAATATGCAACGAATTTTACTGTTAAACTCTCACTAGGTTTAGGGCAGCGATTTAATATTTAAAAATATGTAAAGAAAGAAATCCCATTTCAGTATTCTCCTACAGAGAGAGAGAGAGAGAGAGAGAGAGAGAGAGAGAGAGAGAGAGAGAGAGAGAGAGAGAGGGTGAGAGAGAGAGGCAAGTGTGTTCCCTCAAATAAAAACAAGGACAATTTCTGAGTTAAAATATGTGTGTTCCAATATTGCGCAGTACTTAACAGAACAATATACACGAATATATTTAATTTTATATATTTCCGTCCATTGAATTCGGATCAACTTACAATTTCGAGAAAATGTTCCTCAGACATTGTAATTTAAGAAAATATAAAATCTCCAAAATCGAAAATTCTGAAGTTTCTAAATTAAAATGCTCTCTTCAAATAAATATATCAGAATATCCATAAAATACTTATAAATATTTATAAATATTTATAAATGTATCGGCAAATGAACTATATATTACACGGACCAAATCTATTTTTAATTGTAAAAATTCCGACAGTTGCATTTGGGTAGGACTTCTCATAGACTTCTAAGTCTAAATTATTCTTAAAGAGACTTTTATTTAAATTTCCATTTTACATATATATAGAATAAAAATTGTAAAAAGACCACAATATTTTAATTTGTTTACTTTCATAACCATGTATTAAATTCAAGCGCTATTTTCTGTAATCTCCGCTTAATCTAATATAATCAAAGAAAACATTAAAGTATATATTTTAAACAATGAAACGGTTAACCTGGAATTATTATTTTTGCAATTCTATGGACAAGATATATCTAAATTGCTTTATCCGCTTTTATCCCACGCTCATAAGTTTACTATCTAATTCCCGTTAGAGACATGTTTAACGAGCGATAATCAATGATCCGATATGTTTTTATCATAAATGGCGCATGACAAATGACTTTCAAAGAAAACGATTAATATAGAAATAACAATTTTACTGAAACAAGAGTCGCTTGCTTGTTTATTAAAGGAGAATAGAGTGCTACTGGTCAGTAAATAACGCTGGTCACCTATATATCTCGACGGCTGTCGGTACAAATTGAACTCTGCAAGTTTATTTCCTTTGTGAAGAGCCAAAGAAAGCATAAGATAAAACAACGCTATCATAATATACAGTAATGTCCACAGTTGAGCTATTACAAAACGGTTATTTCGCTATTTTCTGATGTAAAGATTGCTGCGAGAGAAACGTTATAAGTCAGCTAATGTATTCATGTTTAATTATTGCAACTTTTTTCTACAATATCATGCAAACCTTTAATATCATATAAATCTTATAACACCTAATATAAACCTTATAATTTCTTATATAAACCATTAAATATACGGTAAGAATACTGAACTTTTTGAATTGATGGAACGTTACAAGTTTAATTTATTTGTGAAAACATATAATTTCAGTAACGTTGGTCAGTCGGTGCTGGAATGGCCATGATTAAGAGCTGCTCTTTGTTGGAAGGGATTTGGAAAAGATCGACCACCAGTTTTATGAATTTCCGCTTAGCTGACCACCATTACCGCCATTGTTCCTTATATATTAGAAATCACTCCTGTTATAAATTATAATTTTCCCCTCCTTCTCTAATAAATTTATATAAAATTATAAGTGTAACATATTCGACGAATTCAACAATGTCAACGTTAATGCTATTCAATGTTTCAGCTTTATATTAAAAACAAAACAAGGATATCTCAAACATAATAACGATACTATCTTTTACAAAGAACTAAAGATTCAGAAACAGTAAGCGATTACTTTGACAGTTCAATAAGATTGTTCAATAAGATTTTACGTATCGATAAACATGAGTTACATAAGCCGATTCTAGTAAAATACGTCAGTTCATTTTTCCCTTTTCTCCAATGAAATCCAAAACCCACCATCAGGATGCAACGCGAACAAACTTTTATCGAACACTATAGGGTCGACAGTCTTCTCCGTGGCCTTGAAGATAAATTTCTGTAGGAGATGAACCACCAAGAGTTTTACCTCCATGAGAGCGAAACGATTGCCGATGCACATTCTGGGCCCGAGGCCGAAGGGCATGTATGTATATGGCACGATGTTGTCTTTATTCTCGTCGCTGAATCTCTCGGGATCGAACTTGGACGGGTCCGGGAAATAATTGGGATCATGGTGCAACGCGTAAGCAGGTATCCAAATTATGGAAGTGGGCTCGATGATCACGCTCTTGCAGCCTGGCTTCGACGGAGATAGCTTATAACTCTTTACACAGATCCTATCAATGATGGGCACCGGCGGATACTTCCGAAGAGCTTCCGACACCACCATGTCCAAGTAAGTCATCTTCGACATTAACTCGTAGGAGATTTCGCCGTTTCCCTCGGCGAGATGTCGTTCTATTTCCTCATATAGACGATCCTGTATATCTCGGTGAACCGCGAGTTCATGTACAAGAAAACACATTATTGTCGAAGACGTATCAAAGCCGGCCAAAAAGAAAATGAATGCCTGCGACACGATATCGTCCAACGTCATATCGTGCACACTACTACGACCCTCTTTATCCCTAGCTTGCATCAATAAATGAATCATGTCCGGTCGTACGATTCCTTGCTCTTCGCGAATTTTAATGGTCTCAGCCACGATTCTCTTGAAGAATTGGGATGTAGCCGACGAAAAAAAATGCATACCTAGTGCCTTCATTAACCGCGGAGTCGTGCGGAATAACATGAACTTCAATACAGGCACGAAGCTGCTGAAATTGCTGGCCTCCATGCCTCTTATAAAGAATTCGTTACTACGCTCCTTCATGGAATTGACGCTTATGCCGAAAGCCGACGTGGCGATTACATCAGTGGCGTACCGCCTGAACGCGTCCTTCGTGTCGATAGAGGACCGTAGTTCCGGATGATCCGCCAGATATTCGGTGAATTCGTGGGAACATCTTGACACTAGCTCGAACATAACTTTCATCTTACTGGCGGTGAAAGAGGGGCTCAACGTGTTTCTCATTTCTTTCCAGCGATCACCGCACAAGGCGAAGACATTCTTACCGAACAAGGGGTCAAATTCTTCAGTCACAAAAGGGGGATGATCGGTAAAATGTTCGAAATCCTTCACGATGACATCTTTGATGAGCTCGGGATCGCGCAGAACAACGAGAGGAGTGGCTATGTCCATCATGCCAATGTACTTAGCGTTCGGGTCATAATTGTAGATGTGCTTGTTAAAGTCGGGGAAGCTCATGCGTCGAAACAACAGTATCCAAGGCGAACCCAAATTCGGAACCGCTGGTATATAAGGGACACCTCTTTTCTTCCAGTGAGTATACACATGATATAGAACGACAACCAATTTCAGCACGCCAATAGCGAACAAAGTTGTTAATAAAAGCGCAAAAGGCGACGAGAGTAACGACGACCACGACAACTCCATTGTGACTGACGCGTCCGAGAACGAGTGATTTCGTCGCTCGTTGAATATGATGTTATGATCATAGCCGCGCGAATCTTATCATGCACGGACAGTGGGAGGAGTGAGAGGAAAGCCTCAAGAACTATTACGGGTAACGTTTTATTAATGACACGTGTTATCTACATGGTAAACATCCTTTTAAACGTATTGGTTCAAGTGTCTACAATTCACCGTCCGATGTAATTCATCAAAGATGAAATAATATAAAAGTTTTCGGAAGCAAATGTTTTATTCTGACAACATTTTGATACTTTCTTAGATATAGGTCATATTCTAGAAAATTATTCTTCGATTAATTTTGTGGTTTTTGAGATACATTATCGTATGATAAATTTAACATAGATTTATTCAATTATGAAACGGAAATTTAATTTTGGTGCAGATTATACATCTGCAGGTATACAAAATAAAAAATTTATAATTTACTGTAAGAAAAATATTTCAAAGAAAAAAATTAGGAGAAGTTGATCATTGTTGCGCGAAAATATATTTGTATTAACATTTACGTATCCTCTTTTTCCATTTCTTTCATTTTCCCCATTTCCTTTTCATTCATTAAATATAATTTAAAATTTTATTATGTTATAAACGAAGGAACGCACATCTTAAATTTATATTTTAAATTAAATTTAACACAATATTCCCGTTAAAATACGTTATAAATACAAAAATTATTTACTTATCATAGCGTTATCATTGTTGGAATAAAAATATAGCGAAGGAACGAATCTCCGAGAGATTAATGAAACTGCTTTGAGAAATAAATGATATATGCAAGATATTTTTCGAAAATGTCATATTTAATAACAAATCGATTATAAATTCCGAGTTAAGCGTTCAATAAAGAGTAGTTCCAGGGACATTCGCCACGTCACAAATCTCGATATTCTAACAATTTAACAACATCATTTAGATATCTGCAGCTACATGGTATATTACTCAATCAATCCATTTATAATTTGGAAAATTTCGACAATTGTATTTGTGTAGATTCCCATTCTTATTATATTCTCCTTAAACTAACTATTTTCGCTGACACTTTTATCTTTTTCTGTTTTTTTCCTTCATATATCAATATGAATGAAAATCATATATATCAATTTGAGTGAAAATTATGTAATTTGTGTGAAAATGGAAAAACAGTGATATAAAAATTTAATTATGATTATTTTTATAACCATAAATTAAATGCAAGAAACTATGTTCTGTCAACTCCGTTTAATCTATATGATTAAAAGAAACATCAAATATATCCATTAAAATCAATCAAACATCAAACCATTCAACCTGGAATTATTATTTTTGCAACAACAGTCAAAGGTATATTTAAATTATTCTATTCGCTCTTTACTGCGCTCATAAACTTATTATCTCATTCCCGTAGACGTCTAACAAGTGACAATCACTGATGTAATAACATCCTTGTCGCGAGAGGCAAAATCAAACCTTGAACCACGCCACGCAAAAACAATGAACTACATTGCATCTAATTATTATAGGAATAATACAATAATAACAATTTTGCTTTTCGTTTTTTTTGGTATATCTTTGTAAATTATCGGTGTTTCTTACAATTTTATGTCTAATAATCTATTAAACATTTGAGTAACATGTGTAAAATAATGTGCGTCAGTGTCCGTTCCATAAGTGGCACGCGTATATTATATATTATTGTCCAGTAATATTACATATTATTCTTCTGTCAGAAAAGCCTCGCCTGATTACTTAATGTTTCATTATTGCACTATTTTCTGCAATGTCTCGCAAACCTATAACCCTTTATGTAAACCTTAGAACAGCTGATATAAACTTTATAATGCCTAATATAAAGTTTTAAACATATGGTAGGAGTATTACATTTTTTTAATTGATGAATCGTTACAAGTTTAATTTATTTGTGATAACATAATTTGGGTAATGGCGGTCAGTCTGTGCTGGAGTGACCGTGATGAAGAGTTGCGTTTTCTTGCAAGGCATTTGAGATAGATATCTCAACAATTTTTGTGAATTTCCGCATAAGTGACCGCCATTATCGCCATTACACTCTATATACCAGAAATCAGCCGTGCTATAAATTATATTTATATCTTTCCCCAATAATAAACTAATATATAATTACATAAGTGTAATACACTCGACAAATACAATGTCAATGTTCATGCTATTCACGACTCAACGTTTCTGTTTTATATTAAAAACGAAATAAGGATATCTCAAATTAAATAATAGGATATCTCAATCTCAATAAAAACGATATGATCTTTTACACAGAACTAAAAATTTAGAAACCGTAAGCGTTTACTATGACACTTCGATAAGATTTTACATATCGATAAACATGAGTTACATAAGCCGTTTTACGTACGATACTTCAGTCTATTTCTCTCTTTTCTCCAATGAAATCCAAAAACCACCATCAGGATGCAACGCGAACATAGTTTTATCGAACACCATAGGATCGACAGTCTTCTCTGTGGTCTTGATGATAAATTTGTGTAGGAGATGAATTACCAAAAGTTTTACCTCCATGAGAGCGAAACGAGTGCCGATGCACATTCTGGGTCCGAAACCGAAGGGCATGTATGTATATGGCACGATGTTGTCTTTATTCTCGTCGCTGAATCTCTCGGGATCGAACTTGGACGGGTTCGGGAAATAATTGGGATCATTGTGCAACGCGTAAGCAGGTATCCAAATCATGGAGTTCGGCTTGATGATCACGCTCTTGCAGCCTGGTTTCGACGGAGGTAGCTTATAACTCTTCACACAGATCCTATCGTTCATGGGCACCGGCGGATACTTCCGAAGAGCTTCCGACACCACCATATCCAAGTAAGTCATCTTCAACATTAACTCATAGGAGATTTCGCCGTTTCCCTCGGCGAGATGTCGTTCTATTTCCTCAAATAGACGATCCTGTATATCTCGGTTAACCGCGAGTTCATGTACAAGAAAACACATCAATGTCGAGGATGTACCAAAGCCGGCCAAGAAGAAGATGAATGCCTGCGATACGATATCGTCCAGAGTCATGTCGTGCACACTACGACCCTCTTTATCCCTAGCTTGCATCAATAAGTGGATCATGTCCGGTCGTACGATTCCTTGTTCTTCACGAATTTTAATGCTCTCAGCCACGATTCTTTTGAAGAATTTGGATGTAGCCGATGAAAAGAAATTTATACCTAGTGCCTTCATTAACCGCGGAGACGCGCGGAATAACATGAACTTCAATATGGCTACAAAGCTGCTGAAATTAAGGGCCTCCTCACCTCTCATAAAGAATTCGTTATTCCGGTCCTTCATGGAACTGACGCTTATGCCAAAGGCCGACGTGGCGATCACATCAGTAGCGTACCGCTTGAAGGCGTCCTCCGTATAAAGGGAGGACCACAGTTCTGGATGATCCGTCAGGTATTTGGTGAATTCGTGGGAATACCTTGACACCAGCTCGAACATAACTTTCATCTTACTGGCGGTGAAAGAGGGGCTCAACGTTGTCCTCATTTCTTTCCAGCGATCACCGCGCAAGGCTAAGACATTCTTACCGAACAAGGGGTCCGATTGTTCACTCACGAAAGGTATATGATCCGTAAAATGTTCGAAATCCTTCACCATGACGTCTTTAATGAGCTCGGGGTCGCGTATAAGAACGAGAGGAGTGGTCATGTCCATCAATCCGATGTACTTAGCGTCCGGGTCATAATTATAGATGTACATAACATAGTCGGGGAAGTTCAAGCGTCGAAATAACAATTTCCAAGACATCCCAACATTCGGAATCGATCGTATATAAGGGACTCCTCTTTTACTCCAGTAAGTATACACATGATATAGAACGAAGACAAACTTTATCACGCCGGTAGCGAACAAAGTTATTAATAAAAGTGCAAAATGCGACGAGAATAACATCGACCACGACGACTCCATCGTGACTGTTACGTCCGAGAACAAATGATTTCATCGCTCCTTGTACAGGATGTTATAAACACAGACATTCAGCAGCGCTGATCTTATCATGCACGAATAGTGACAAGGAGACGTGTGAAACGCCTCATAAACAATAAATAATAACATGTTCCGTTTTATTAGAGACACGTGTTATCTACACGGTAAACATCCTTTTAAATGTATTGGTTCAAATGTATGTAATTTACGGCCTGTTTTCATTCGAACGTTTTCCGACGAATCTATGCTGAGACTCTGGAACGTCGAATTCCACGTGCTGGGAACGTGCTGCAGCCGGTTCGCAAACCTGTCAAACACGTGTCGCGCGACACGTCGCGGGCTGATGTTCGGCAAAAAACGGCGAAACACATCAGGTAGCACACTAGCAGCGCGTGTTGAGATACGGGCGAGCGATTCGGCGAGCTGCGAAAGTTCGCGTTACGCAACTATCCCTGTTGTTAATTGTTAATTGTGCGGTATTCTCGTCGGATTCGACGGGCCGACGAGACATCCGCAAGCGCGTTCGTCGTGCTGCATCGCGGCAAGTATTTTCTCGCCGCGACATCAAGTTCTCCGTTGTCGCAAATGGTTCAATTCGAAGCGCTTCAAGATTTCCGTTTCACGACCATCTGCAGCAAGGAAAATCGACGATCTGAAGATTTCCGCTCGTATTCCGTGCGGTCTCATCGTACAGTCTATTCCATCAAAATTCGGTTATTGAATCAATTGTTCGTGTGATTCAACTACAGTTTTTTTTTTAGTTCCTTTTTTGTAAATCTCCCGTCTCACCCTTCTGGCATGCAACAGTTGTCTCGCGTTAAGATCTGGACGGTCCCATCAACTCCTCGTGCCGTCGGCACACCGAACTCTTACGCATGCGAAACATCGTCAAAGATTAAGTTATTTAAATTTTTTCAAAAGTAAATGTTTTACTGAAAATATTTTGATACTTTCTCAGATATAGGTAATAATCTAACAAATTGTTGTTCGATTAATCTTCGTGTTTTTGAGTTACACTCACGTATCATGATGAATTTAACGTTGAATTATTCAGTTATGGGACGGAAATTTGTTTACGGTGCAGATTGTGCATCTGTAGAAATATAAAAGAAAATGTATAATTTACTTTGAGGAAAATATCTCAAAGAAAAAAATTAAAATAAGTTGATTATAGTTGCACGAAAATATATTTGTATTATCATTTACGCATTCTCTTTTTCCCTGTTTTCTTTCGTTTTCGTTATTTTTTTTTTCATTAAATATAATTTAAAATTGCATTATATTAAAAACAAATGAACGCACATCTTAACTTTATATTTCAAAATAAACCTAACAAAACATTCCCGTTAAAATACATTATAAATACAAAAATTATTTCCATATCATAGCGTTATCATTGTTGGAATAAAAATATAATAATATAAAGTAACGTATCTCCTAGAGATTAATAAAACGGCATTGAGAAATAAATGACGCAGGATATTTTTCGAAAATGTCATGTTTAATAACAAATAGATTGTAGATGCCGAGTTAAACGTTCAACAAAATCGTAGTTCAGGGACATTTCGCCACTGGAAAAATTTCGATACACTTACAACATAATAACATTGTTTAGGTACCTGCAGCTACATTGTATATTACGAAATCAATCTACTTATAATTTAGAAAATTCCGACAGTTGTATTTGTGCAGATTCCCATTCTTATTATATTCTCTTTGAATTAACTATTTTCACTGACTTTTATCTTTTGTACTCATTTCCTTCATATAATTTGAGTGAAAATTATGTAATTTGTGTAAAAATGGAAAAATAGAGATATATGAATTTAATTCTGATTACTTTTTTAACCATAAATTAAATGCAAGTGACTATGTTCTGTCATCTCCATTTAATCTATATGATTAAAGGGAACATCAATGTATCCATTATAATCAATAAAACATCAAACCATTCAACCTGGAATTATTATTTTTGCAACAACAGTCAAAGATATATTTAAATTATTCTGTTCGCTCTTTCTCCGCACTCATATACTTATTATCTCATTCCCGTAGATGTATAACAAGTGACAATCACTGATGTAATAACATTCTTATCGCGAGAGGCAAAATCAAACCACTTGAACCACTATTTGAACCAATACATTTAAAAAGACGTTTACCATGTAGATAACACGTGAACCTTGAACCACTCAACGCAAAAATAATGAACTACATTGCATCTAATTATTATATGAATAATACAATAATAACAATTTTGCTGTTCGTTTTTTTTGGTGTATCTTTGTAAATTATCGGTGTTTCTTACAATTTTATCTCTAATAATCTATTAAACATTTGAGTTACATGTGTACAATAATGCGCGTCAGTGTCCGTTCCATAAGTGGCACGCGTATATTATATATTATTGTTCAGTCATATTACATATTATTCTTCCGCCAGAAAAGTCCCGCCTGATTTGTTCATGTTTAATTATTGTACTATTTTCTACAATGTCACGCAAACTTTAAACCCTTTATATCAACTTTATAACACCCGATATAAACTTTATAAACCCTAATACAAACTTTTAAATATAAGGCAGGAGTACTGAATTTTTTGAATTGATGGATAGTTACAAGGTTAATTTATTTGTAATAACATAATTTGGGTAATAGCGGTCAGTCCGTGCTGAAATGACCATGATTAAGAGTTGCGCTTTCTTGCAAGGAATTTGAGAGAGATACCAACAGTTTTATGAATTTCTGCTTAAGTGACCGCCATTACCGCTATTACAAGCTATATATCAGAAATCATTTGTGTTATAAATTATATTTATCTCCTTCTCTTCTAAAAAACGAATATATTATTATATAAGTGTAATATACTCGACAAATTCAGTTTTAATGTTTATGCCATTCAAGTTTCAAGGTTTTTGCGTCATATTAAAAACGAAACAAGGATATCTCAAATGTAATAACGATATAATCTTCTACACAAAATTAAAGATTTAATAACAGTAATCGTTTGCTTTAATACTTCGATAAGATTTCACATATCGATAAACACGAGTTATAAAAGACGTTCCACGTACGATACTTCAGTCAATGAAATCCAAAATCCACCATCAGGGTGCAACGCGAACATACTTTTATCGAACACCATAGGATCGACAGTCTTCTCTGTCGTCTTGAAGATAAATTTGTGTAGGAAATAAACCACAAAGAGTTTTATATCCATGAGAGCGAAACGATTGGCGATGCACCTCCTGGGCCCGAGGCCGAAGGGTAAGTATGTATATGGCACGATGCTGTCCTTGTTTTCGTCACTGAATCTCTCCGGGTCAAACTTGGACGGGTCAAACTTGGTTCGGGTCCGGGAAATAATTGGGATCATGGTGCAACGCGTAAACAGATACCCAAATTATGTAGGTGAGCTCGATGAACACGCTCTTGCAGGACGGCTTCGACGGAGGTAGCTTATAACTCTTCACACATATCCTATCGTTGATGGACACCGGCGGATACTTCCGAAGAGTTTCCGACACCACCATGTCCAAGTAAGTCATCTTCGACATTGACTCATAAAAGATCTCGCCGTTTCCCTCGGCGAAATGTCGCTCAATCTCCTCATACAGACGGTCATGTATATCTCGGTAAACCGTGAGTTCATGGACAAGGAAACACATCAGTGTCGAAGTCGTACCAAAGCCGACCAAGAAGAAGATGAACGCCTGCGATACGATATCGTCCAGTGTCATATCGTGCACACTACGACCCTCTTTCTCCCTAGCCTGCATCAATAAGTGGATCATGTCCGGTCGTACGATTCCTTGCTCTTCACGAATTTTAATGGTCTCAGCCACGATTCTCTTGAAGAATTTGGATGTAGACGACGAAAAGAAATTCATACCTAATGCCTTCATTAACCGCGGAGTCGCACGGAATAACATGAACTTCAATATGGCCACAAAGCTGTTGAAATTGCTGGCCTCCATACCTCTCACAAAGAATTCGTTAGTCCGCTCCTTCATGGAATTGACGTTTATGCCAAAGGCCGAAATGGCGATCACATCAGTAGCGTACCGCCTGAGGACATCGCCCGTATCGATAGAGGACCACAGTTCTGGATGATCCGCCAGATATTTGGTGAATTCGTGGGAATACCTTGACACTTGCTCGAACATAACTTTCATCTTACTGGCGGTGAAAGAGGGGCTCAACGTTGTCCTCATTTCTTTCCAGCGATCACCGCGCAAGGACAAGATGTTCTTACCGAACAAGGGGTCTAATTCTTCACTCAAAAAAGGTGCGTGATCCGTAAAATGTTCGAAATCCTTCACCATGACGTCTTTGATGAGCTCGGGATCGCGCAGAAGGACGAGAGGTGTGGCCACTTCCATCATCCCGATGTACTTAGCGTTTGGGTCATAATTATAGATGTACTTAATATAGTCTGCGTGGCTCAAGCGTCGAAATAACAATTTCCAAGGCGTCCCCAAATTCGGAATCGATCGTATATAAGGGACTCCTTTTTCACTCCAGTGAGTATACACATAATATAGAACGACGAAAAATTTCAGCACGCCGATAGCGAACAAAGTTGTTAATAAAAACGCAAAAAGCGACGAGAATAACGGCGACCACGACGACTCCATCGTGACTGTCACGTGCGAGAACAAATGATTTCAACGCTCTTTGTACAGGATGTTATAAATACAGACATTCAGCAGGGTGGATCTTGTCATGCACGAATAGTGACAGGGAGACGTGAGAAATGCCTCATAAACAATAGTTAATAACGGGTTCCGTTTTATTAGGAACACCTATTATCTACACAGTAAACATCCTTTTAAATGTATTGGTTCAAGTGCATTTAATTCACCCGTATCTTGATTCGAACATTTTCCGAAGAATCTATGCTCAAATTCTGGAACGTAGGATTCCACGTGCTGGAAGCGTGCTCCAGCCGATTCGCGGGCCTGTCAATCACACGTCGTGCGACATGTCGCAAGCTGATGTTCGGCAAAAACGGCGAAACACAGCAGGTAGCGCATTCGCAGCACGTGTTGAGATACGGGCGAGCGAATCGATGAGCTGCGAAAGTTCACGTTACGCGAGTATCCATGTTGTTAATTGTTAATTGTGCGGTATTCTCGTCGGATTCAACATGCCGACGAGACATCCGCAGGCGCGTTCGTCGAGCTGCATCGCGGCAAGAATTTTGTCGCCGCGACAACAAGTTCTCCGTTATCGCGAATGCTTCAATTCGAAGCGCTTCAAGATTTCCGTTTCGCGACCATCTGCAGCAAGGAAAATCGACGATCTGGAGATTTCCGCTCGTATTCCGTGCGGTCTCATCGTACGGTCGTCTATTCCATCAAAATTCGTTTATTGAATAAATTGTGCGTGTGATTCAACTTCAGTTTTTTCTTAGTTCCTTTTTTTTAAATTTCCCGTCTCACCTCTCTGGCATGCGACGATTGTTTCGCGTTCAGGTCTGGACAGTCCCGGCAACTCATCGTGCCGTCGGCGCACTTAACTCCGACGCATGCGAAACATTGTCAAAGATTAAATTATTTAAAGTTTTTCAGAAGTAAATATTTTATTGACAATATTTTGAAACTTTCTTAGGTATAAATCATAACTTAACAAATTGTGGTTCGATTAATATTCTGCTTTTCGTGTTACACTCACGTATCATAATGAATTTAACGTTGAACTATGCAGTTATGGGACGGAAATTTGATTACGGTGCAGATTATGCATCTGTAAAAATATTTTAAAAAATGTATAATTTACTTTGAGAAAACTATCTCAGAGAAAAAAATTAAAAGAAGTTGATCATTGTTGCGCGAAGATATATTTGTATTATCATTTACGCATCCTCATCTTCCTTTTCTGTTTTCTTTCATTTTCCCTATTTTCTTTTCTTTCATTAAATATAATTTAAAATTGTATTATATTATAAACGAATGAATGCACATCTTAACTTCATATTTTAAAATAAATCTAACAAAACATCCTTGTTAAAATACGTTATCAATACAAAAATTATTTCCTTATCATTGCATTATCATTGTTGCAATGAAAATATAACAACGGAACGTATTTTCTTGAGATTAATAAAACGGCATTGAGAAATAACTGACGCAGGATATTTCTCGAAAATATCACGTTTAATAACAAATCGATTATAAATTCCGAGTTAGACGTTCAACAAAGCGCAGTAGTTCAAGGACTTTCGCCACGTCAAAAATCTCGATATTCTAATAATTTAATAACTTTGTTTAGATATCTGCAGCTACATTGTATATTATTAAATCAATCCATTTATAATTTGGAAAATTCCGACAATTGTATTTGTATAGAGTCCCATTCTTATTATATTTTTCTTGAATTAATTCTTTTCACTGACACTTTTATCTTTTCGTATTCTGTTCATTCATATAATTTGAGTGAATATTATGTAATCTGTGTAAAAGTGAGAAAACGGAGATAAATGAATTTAATTATCATTACTTTCATAACCATAAATTAAATATAAGTTACTATGTTCTGTCATCTCCATCTAATCTATATAATTAAAGGAAACATCAATGTATCCATTATAATCAATAAAACATCAAACCATTTAACTTGAAATTATTACTGTTGCAATAACAATCAAAGATATATATCTAAATTATTCCGTTCGCTCTTTTCCCGCGCTCATAAACTTATTACCTCATGCCCGAGGATGTATAACAAGCAGCATCACAGATGCAATAACGTACTTATCACGATAAAAATCAAATCTTAAAGAGCTCAACGCAAACACACTAAACTACATTGCATCTGATTATTATATGAATAATACGAGAAAAACAATTTTGCTGTTCTTTTCTTTTTATTATACCTTTGAAAATTATCTCTAATAACCTATTTATCTCTAATAATCTATTAATCACTAGAGTTACATGCGTACAATGATGCGCGTCAGTGCCCGTTACATAAGTGACAAGCGTATATTATATATTATTGTCCACTCTTCTGTCAGAAAAGTCTTGCCCGATTTCTGCGCTAAAAATATATTATTGAATTTAAAAAGACTAATTTTATGTGTTTAGTGTTAAGAAATAGAGATTTTATGTCAAAACTGAGTAATTTCCAATCCCCTATATATTGCTTTCTTCTTTAATACGCACCTTATTTTAATTTGTTATAGATTTCTTTCTTCTACACCAATTTGGGAACTATAATTATATGCTCATGATATTTTTTATAATATTTTTTAAAACACAATACAAAAGGATATAAAATCCCATCGCTGCAGCCGCTTCATAATTCACATCGCCAATAAATGCACAAAGATAAACTGCGCTTATAATTTTCGAAAATGTTTATTAAAATTTCATTTAACTTAACAAAAAATTTTGAAAGCACAATCTTAGTTAACAAATTAATGTAGAAGAAAGAAATATAATAAAAATACTAAATTAAGGCGTATATTTAACGGAAAACACTGTTTAACGGAAAACCCTACACACCGCAGATTGAAAACCACTTCATTTTGACATAAAATATGTATTCTTTCACATCGGAAACATAAAATTGGTAATAAAATTAGTGATTTCTTAAATTCAATAATATATTTTTAGCAAAGAAATGAACCGAGTTCTTTCTGATGCAAGAGTGCGCAATAGTATGAACGCATCACTTATGGGAAGGACACTGACGTGCACTATTGCACGCGAGCCACTAGTTAATTATATATTAGGTGAAGTAAAAAGTTCTGAGCGTTTTCCGCTAGATGTCTTTAGTAAGCCATATCTCACGATGTATACATCACATCGGGTCATACTATACGTCGATTTAAAGGTGACATTACGCTTCAAAAAAAGTTCTGTGACAGTTTTGTGTTTGGTCAAGGCAGTTGTGTGTTACAGCATTCCAAAGTGGAGGTAAAAAAAGGGAAAATTCGATACATTCTTCAGTACCACTACGACCAAGGTGAAAAGGCGGAGCAGGCGGCCAAAAAAAGTTGTGCTGTTTATGGACCCAATACAGTATCGAATGCAACAGCAAAGCGGTGGTTCCAACGATTCCGTTCTGGTAATATGGACGTCGAAGATGAGGCACGCTCTGGTAGGCTAATCGTCGAAAATGTCGATAAAATCATGGAAATCGTCGAGTCGGACCGGCACGTGAGCACTTATTCCATTGCCCAGGAACTGAAGATTAGCCAGAAAACCGTTTGGAACCATTTGCATACGGCTGGTCTCAAGAAGAAGCTCGATGTATGGGTGCCACACGAATTGACGCAAAAGAACCTTTTGGACCGAATTGATGCCTGCGATTCTTTGCTGAAACGTAACGAAATCGACCCATTTTTGAAACGGATGATAACTAGTGATGAGAAATGGGTCACATACGAGAACAACAGCCGAAAAAGATCGTGGTCCAATCGCGGTGAGTCGGCCCAAACGATCGCCAAGCCCGGATTAACGGCCAAGAAGGTTTTGCTGTGTGTTTGGTGGGAAAGGAATCATCCACTATGAGCTGCTCCCATCGGGCAAAACACTCAATTTGGACCTCTATTGTCAACAACTGATCAGATTGAAGCAGGCGATCGACCAGAAGCGGCCAGAATTGGCCAATAGGAAGAGTGTTGTGTTCCATCGAGACAACGCCAGGCCGCATACATTATTAACGACGCGCCAGAAGCTCCGAGAGCTTGGATGGGAGATTCTATTGAACCCACCGTATAGTCCAGACTTGGCACCAAGCGATTATCACTTTTTCAAGCATTTGCAAAATTTTCTTGATGATACAAATCTGGCCTCAAGAGAGGCTTGTGAAAATGAGCTGGTCAAGTTTTTTACCAATAGGGACGAGGACTTCTTCAATCGCGGAATTATGAAATTGCCTTCAAAATGGACAAAAGTTATCGAACAAAACGGCGCATATTTGATCGAAATCAGATAATCCTAACTATGTTAATTTCATCGTCGAAATAAAGCGAAAAAACGCTCAGAACTTTTTACTTTACCTAATAAATACAATATATTTTAAAAATATATTGTTTTACTTTTTTGTGTTGAAAAACGAAATGAGGGTATCTCGAACGCAAGAACGATGTTGTCTTTTATAAAATATTCAGGAACTGCACTGTATATTACACAAACTTGACCTATTTTCAATTTCAAAAATACCGACAGTTGCATTTAGGAAGGGTTTTCTCATCGAGTTCTGAGTAAATTATTTTCAAATAAATTTTGATTTAAATGTCCATTTGACATATAATTGGATTAAAAATTATAAGAAGACCACAACATTTTAATTTGTTTACTTTTATAACCATGAATTAAATTCAAGCGCTATTTTCTGTAATCTCCGCTTAATCTATATAATCAAAGAGAAGATTAAAGTAAACATTTTAATCAATGAAATAGTTAACCTGGAATTATTATTTTTGCAGTAGTATGGATAAGATATATCTAAATTACTATGTCAGTTTTTTTCACGCAGTTATAGGTTTACTATCTAATTCCCGAAGATGAGATACGTTTAACGAGCGACAATTACTGATCCAATATGTCTTTATCATGAGTGGCGTATGGCAAAATAAACCTTGAAAGAAAACGATTAATATAGAAATAACAATTTTACTGAAACGAGAGTCACTAGTTGATTTATTAAAGAAGAATAGAGTATTACCGGTCAGTAAATAATGCCGGTCACTTTTATATCTCGACTGTGGTCGGTACAAATTGAATTCTGCAAGTAGTTAGTAGTAGTTTCTTTCTTTTGTGTAAAACCAAAGGAAGCATAAAACAAAACAACGCTATCATAATATACAATCATGTTCATAGTTGAGCTATTATGAAAAGTTTATTTCGTCGTTTTCTGATGTAAAGATCGCTAGTAGAGAAACGTGGTAAGTCAGTAAATTTATTCATGTTTAATTATTGCACTATTTTCTACAATATCACGGAAACCTTTAACCTTTCATATAAACCTTATAACATCTAATATAAATCTTATAATATCTATATATAAACCTTTAAATATACGGTAGGGATATTAAATTTTTTTAAACTGATGGATCATTACAAGGTTAATTTATTTGTGAAAACATATAATCAGCCTGTGCTAGCGTGACCATGATTAAGAGTTGCACTTTATTGCAAAAAATTTGGAAGAGATCTCTCACCAGTTTTATAAATTTCCGCTTAGGTGACCGCCGTTATCGCTATTACACCCTATATATTAGATATCACTCGTGTTATAAATTATATTTATCTTCTTCCCATCTAATAATATATAATTATAAGTGTAATATGCTCGAAAAATTCAGTTTCAATATTTATGCCATTCAAGTTGCAAGGTTTCGGCGTTATATTAAAAACAAATCAAGAATACCTCAAACATAATAACGATATAATCTCCTACACAAAATTAAATTAAAAAGATTAACAGTAATCGTTTACTTTAACACTTCGATAAGATATCACATATCGATAAACACGAGTTACATAAGTCGTTTCACAGTTTATTTTTCCCTTTTCTCCAATGAAATCCAAAATCCACCATCAGGCTTTAAAGCAAACAGACTTTTATCGAACACCATAGGTTCGACAGTCTTCTCCGAGGCCTTGAAGATAAATTTGTGTAGAAGATGAATCACCAAGATTTTTACTTCCATGAGAGCGAAACGATTGCCGATGCACATTCTGGGCCCAAGGCCGAAGGGCATGTATGTATATGGCACGATGTTGTCCTTGTTTTTGTCGCTGAATCTCTCGGGGTCGAATTTGGACGGGTTCGGATAATAATTGGGATCATGATGCAACGCATAAACAGGCAACCATATCAAGGAGTTGGGCTCGATGATCACGCTCTTGCAGCCCGGCTTCGACGGAGGTAGCTTATAACTCTTCACACAGATCCTGTCGTTGAGGGGCGCCGGCGGATACTTCCGAAGAGCTTCCGACACCACCATGTCCAAGTAAGTCATCTTCGACATAGACTCATAAGAGATTTCGCCGTTTCTCTCAGCGAAATGTTCTATTTCCTCATACAGACGATCCTGTATATCTCGGTGAACCGCGAGTTCATGGACAAGAAAACACATCAATGTCGAAGCCGTATCAAAGCCGGCAAAGAAGAAGATGAATACCTGCGACACGATATCGTCCAGCGTCATATCGTGCACACTACGACCCTCTTTCTCCCTAGCTTGCATCAATAAGTGGATCATGTCCGGACGTACGATTCCTTGATCTTCGCGAATTTTAATGGTCTCAGCCACAATTCTCTTGAAGAATTTGGACGTAGCTGACGAAAAGAAAGTCAATCCTAGTGCCTTCATTATCCGCGGAGTCGCGCGGAATAACATCATCTTCGATACGGCCACAAAGCTGCTGAAATCAATGACTTCCATACCTCTCATAAAGAATTCGTTATTCCGCTCCTTCATGGAATTGACGCTTATGCCAAAGGCCGACGTGGCGATCACATCAGTAGCATGCCGCCTGAGGGCATCGTCCGTATCGATAGAGGGCCACAGTTCTGGATGATCCGCCAGGTATTCGGTGAATTCGTGGGAACACCTTGACACTAGCTCGAACATAACTTTCATCTTACTGGCGGTGAAAGAGGGGCTCAACGTTGTCCTCATTTCTTTCCAGCGATCACCGCGCAAGGACAAGATAGTCTTGCCGAACAAAGGGTCTAATTCTTCACTCAAGAAAGGTGCATGATCCGTAAAATATTCGAAATCCTTCACCATAACGTCTTTGATGAGCTCGGGGTCGCGCAGAACGACGAGAGGCGTGGCCATGTCCATCATCCCGATGTACTTAGCGTCCGAATCATAATTGTAGATGTATTTCATATAGTCGGCGGTGCTCAAGCGTCGAAACAACAGTTGCCAAGGCAGCCCCAAATTCGGAATCGCTTGTATATAAGGAACACTTCTTTTACTCCAGTGAGTGTACACATGATAGAGAGCGACGACAAATTTCAGCACGCCGATAGTGAACAAAGTTGTTGATAAAAACGCAAAAGGCGAGGAGAATAACAACGACGACGACGACTCCATCGCGACTGACGCATCTGTGAGCGAATGACTTCGTCGCTCGTTGTACAGGAAGTTATGAACACTCTCTGTAGCGCGGATTTTATCATGCAAGGTGAGTGGGGGAGACGTGGGAAACGCCTCACTAACTATTACAAGTTACGTTTTATCAATGACACGTGTTATTTAAACGATAAATTTCCTTTTAAATTTATTGGTTCAAGTGCATGTAATTCACCATCAAAAATTAAATTATTTAGAATTTTTCAGAAGTAATTGTTTTTCTCTGACAACATTTTAATACTTTCTTGGGTATAGGTCATAATCTATCAAATTGTTGCTCGATTAATCTTCTGAATTTAGAGTTACACTCACGTATTGTGTTGAATTTAACATTGAATTATTCAGTTATGAGACGGAAATATGTTTATAGTGCATATTATATATACATCTGTAGAAATATAAAATAAAAAATTTATAATTTACTTTGAGAAAAATATCTCAAAGAAAAAAAATCAGAAGAAATTGTTCATTGTTGTGCGAAAATATATTTGTATTAACATTTACGTATCCTCTTCTTCCCTTTCTATTTTCTTTCATTTTCCCTATTTTCTTTTCTTTCATTAAATATAATTTAAAATTGTATTATATCATAAACGAATAAACGGACATTTTAACTTTATATTCTAAAATAAATCTAACAAAACATCCTTGTTAAAGTAGGTTATAAATACAAAAAGTATTACTTTATCATAGCATTATGACTGTTGCAATGAAAATATAACAAAGGAAGGAATCTCCTAGAGATTAATAAAACGGTATTGAGAAATAAATGACGCAAGATATTTCTCAAAAATACTATGTTTAATAACAAATCGATTATAGATGCCGAGTTAGATGTTCAACAGAGTACAGTAGTTCAGGGACATTTCGCCACGTGAAAAATATCTATACTCTTACAATTCAACAACATAGTTTAGATAACTGCAGCTACGTTATATATTACGAAATCAATCTATTCATAATTTGGAAAATTCCTATGGTTGTATTTGTGTAGATTCCCTATCTTATTATATTCTGCTTGAACTAATTATTTTCACTGACACTTTTATCTTTTTGTATTTTTTCCTTCATATAATTTGGGTGAAAATTACGTAATTTGTGTGAAAATGAGAAAACAGAGATGTATGAATTTAATTATGATTATTTTCATAACCATAAATTAAATGCAAGAGACTATGTTCTGTCATCTCCATTTAATCTATATGATTAAAGGGAACATCAATGTATCCATTATAATCAATAAAACCATTCAACCTGGGATTATTACTTTTGCAATAACAGTCAAAGACATGTCTAAATTATTCCGTTCGCTCTTATCCTGTGGTCACATATTTATTATCTCATTTCCGAGAATATCTAACAAGGTAATTACTGATACAATATCGTCCTTATCACGAGAAGCAAAATCAAACCGTGAATAGTTCAACGCAAAAACAACAACCTGCATTGCAGCTGATTATTATATAAATAATACAAGAATAACAATTCTGCTGTTCGTCTTTTTTGTTATATCTTTGGAAATGATCGGTGTTTCTTAAAATTACTTTCATCTCTAATAATGTGTTAATTTGAGTTACGTGCATTTGAGTTACATGCATACAATAATGCGCGTCAGTATCCGTTCTATAAGTAGCATACGTATATTATTGTGCACTCTTCTGTCAGAAAAGTCTCGCCTCATTTCTTCGCTAAAAATGTATTATTTAATTTAAAAAAACTAATATTATGTTTTTAGTGTTAAGAAATACGGATTTTATGCCAAAATTAAATAATTTCCAATCCTCTATACATTATTTTCTGTTTAATACGCACCTTATTTTAATTTGTTGTAGATTTCTTTCTTCTACATTTGATTTGGGAACTAAAATTATGTTTTCATGATATTTTTTGTAATATTTTTTAAAACAAAAAGCAAAAGAGTGTAAAATCCTATCGTTGCAGCCGACTCGTAATTCACATCGCCAGTAAATGCACAAAGATAAACTGCGCTTATAATTTTCGAAAATGTTTATTAAAATTTCATTTAACTTAACAAAAAATTACGAAAACACAATCATAATCCCCAAATTAATATAGAAGAAAGAAATATAATAAAAATACTAAATTAAATACTAAATTAAGGCGCATATTTAACGGAAAATACTGTTTAACGAAAAACCCCACACACCGCGGATAGAAAACCACTTAATTTTGAAATAAAATTTGTATTCCTTGATATTGGAAACATAAAATTAGTAATAAAATTAGTGATTCTTTTAAATTCAATAATACATTTTTAGCAAAGAAATGAACCGAGTCCTTTCTAGCGCAAGAATGCGCAATAGTGCGACGCATCATTTATGGGACGGAAACTGACGCACACTATTGCACGCGTGCCACTCGTTAATTACATAATAACAATATATTTGAAAAATATATTGTTCTACTTTTTGTGTTAAGGGGGAAGTCTACTGTAAAATTTTCAAAAAATCAATTTTTTGTTTATTGGCTTAAAAAATACTTTGAACCCTCTAAAATAAGGTACATTAGGTGTTATAGCCGGCTAAATTTTTCTTCATTGAAATTTCGACTTTTTACCGAAGCGCTCCGAAACGCGTACCTGCGGCAAATTCCTATCTGTTCGGCGGGTACAGCGTAGTGACTTGCAATTCAATTTCTAACATTTCTAATATTCCAAGTCAATCAACAGATGTCACTAGGTATATTTTATAGTCAGTTAGAAGCGATTTCAACAGATGATCTGATCGTTAGCTCCGAAACAAACATTCAGCGGCGCAAAAACCGTCGATATTGCGTCGTATTGTGCTGCGAGCATTTTCAACGAAGGCTACTCCAGTATCCTCAAAATGATGAACGTTATGAACATCAAAATTGGACCAAACGCCTTCAATTTATGCAACACCGTGGACGAGCGCAAAATATCACGAGCAAACGAACGGTCGTTCGACGCTTCAAAAGAAGGGAGAATCGAAAGAAGAACGGCGCGATCGGCACTCGAAGAGGATTTCCTTGAAGAAGAAGGTGTACTATATGAAGCAGGAATGGGCGATTAATGGTAAGAAGCTTAAAAATGATTTTTTCATTGAAAAAACTAATGCCGAAACTTTAAACGCGTTTTTCTCGAAACTAAGTTTTTCAATACGGTGTACACGATATCTCGAGTTTTAATGAATGAATCGACTTGAAATTTTAACCACATATTCTCTGGAATAGTGTCTCTCGTCTGGCGGAGCATTTTTTTGATATCGTTTTTTGTGTAATTGTTATAAACAATAATAACATCAAATTTGGGCAAAAAAATAGAAAAAAATTCAAGAATTTTTTTTTCGGCGCCAAAATTTTTTATCGACAAAATCCTCCGTCAGACGAGAGTCAATACTATGTAGATGATAACCATATTTTGTTTTTTGTTTCAGATCACCCAGACGTGAGATTTCATGTACACCGTTTGGGCACCTAAAAAAAACGGACCTGCACTTGAAGGAGTGCCACGACGGCAATTTTGAATATTTCGACTTGAAAATTTTTTTACAAATACTTGAATATATAATAAAGATGACGGTTTAATTTAATTTAATGTACGAGTCATATTTTGTTAGAAAAAAAAATTCGGAAAATCGGCCTGTTTTTTCCCTTGTCACAGTAGACTTCCCCCTTAAAAACGAAATGAGGGTATCTCAAACGCAAGAACGATATCGTCTTTTATATAGAGATAAACATTTAATAACAGCAAGCGTATGCTCTGATATATTCGTACGTATACTTGGATAATATTCCAACTATTGATAAATAAGAGTTACGTAAGTCATTTTGCGTGTAATACCGTTTTACTTTTCTCTCTTTCCTAATGCGATTCAGAATCCGCACACAAATAGCAATGAAATCTGCTTTTTATCGAACACGCTGGGCTTGATGGTCTTCTCCGTAACCTTAAAGATGAATTTGTGTAGGAAATAAGCTATCAAAAGTTTCGTCTCCATTAGGGCGAAAAAATTTCCGATGCACTTTCTGGCCCCATGGCTGGAGAACATGTAAATATAAGGCATGATGTTCTTGTTCTCGTCGCTGCACCTCTCGAGATCGAACATGGGAACAGTCGGAACAGTATCTCATCGATTTTGATGGGCCTTGGATATGTTGTAGAGCATCAAAAAATGTAACACTCCTATTTTTTTTGCGGCGTCATCTTTTGATGACTGATTCTTGATGAGTATTATGAAACTTGGCATTTATGCATAATAAACATATCTGCATCATTACTTTTGAGATTAAATATAACAGTACTCTTTATTGACGTTCGTCAAGAAAAACACCAGAGAACAAAGAACTAATCAGAAAAATGTTGAATAATTTTTTTTTAAATAAGACAAAGCAACTAGTGAAACATACGAAATGATAAAAATATATACGGTAATAATTGTTCGGATCGTTTAAATCTTTTTAAATGGGTCTAATTCCTCGGTCAGAAAGTATGTATGGTCCGTAAAATGTTCGAAATCCTTCACCGTAACATTTTTTATCAGCTCAAGTTCACGCAGAAAAATGAGAAGAGTAGCCTTGACAATCAGGCCGATGTACTTAGCGTCCGTGTCATAATTGTAGACGTATTTGCTATAGTCGGGCAAGCTTGTATATCGAAACAACACTTCCCAAGGCAATCCTAAATTCGGAATTGTTCGTATATAGAGGGCGCCTCTTTTATTTCAGTAAGTATACACGTGGAAAAGAGGTTATTAATAAAAATGTAAAAAATAATGGAGATAACGACAGAAACTCCATCATGATCGATCGTAGGAGAACGAATGATTTCATCGTTCGTGAGAATCGTATAGAATGTTATAATTACGGACATGTACGTTCACTGACGCAAATTTTATCTTGCACGAGCAGAAGTGGGGAGAGAAACGCCTCTCGTCGGACTATTATGGGCCGTCGCATGAATAACACGTAGTATCTACCTGTTTATAATCGTTTTAAACGTGTCACTTCAAGCATACGTAATTCCTCGTCGAAACGAATTATTCGAAATTTCACAGAGGAAAATATTTCACTCTGAAGACTTTTTGATACTTTCTCCAAGATAAAACATAATAGGTAATAATCCATGTAAATATTGCTTGATTGACTATATGACTTTTGGGTTATATTTGCGTATTATGATTAATTTAACATTAAACTGATTCGATTGTAAGACGGAAATTCGGTTATAAGAGTACGGATTATACACTACGGAATTATAAAGAAAGAATTTATATTTTGTTCAAAGCAGGAAGTCGCGAGGAAGAAAAATAGTGACAGATTGATCACTGCTGCGCGAAAACCTATTTTTATCATCACTTGCTTTTGTTTTCTTTCCTTTGTTGTTCTTTTTTTACCCCTGCTCTCTTCTCTTTAATTAAATACAATTTAAAATTGTATATACAATAAAACAGAATGAACCTCTATATTTACTTTATATATTAAAATAAATGTAACAAAACTTTCCTATAAAATACTTATAAATATAAGCATTATTTCCTTATCGTAGCATTATCGTTGTTACGATGACAATGTAACAAAAAAATGCATTTTCTTGAGGTTAATGAAACGGTATTAAGAAACAAATATCGCAGGATATATATAAAAAATGTCACGATTGATAACAAATTGATTACACATGCCGAATTTAATGTTCAAGAATACAGTAATTCAGGAACATTTCGACATGCGAAAATTATCGACACTTTCGCAATTTAATAACATTATAAAAAAATTATTTAAGTGCCTGCAACTACATTGTATATTACGAAATCAACTTATTTATAATTTGAAAGATTCCGATAGTTGTGCAGATTTTCATTCCTATTAAATTCTCTCTGAATAAATTATTTTCATAAAGACATTTATTTTTTTTTTGTATTCTTCTTCTTCATATAATTTGAGTGAAAATTGTACATAAAGAACAGCAATATTTAAAAATGTAATTATATTTACTTTTGTAACTATAAAGATAAGTGTCTATGTGTGTGTATATTCTGTAATATCCACTTAATCTATATGATTAAAGGGAACATCTAAATATTCATTTTAATCAACGAAACATCAAACTATTTAATCTAGAATTATTATATTTTCCATAATATAATCAATATTATATTATATCTAAATTACTATGTTCGCTCTTTTTCTGTGCATACCAACTTAATACCTTACTTTCGAGAATGAAACACTTCTAACGAGCGACAATTACTGATATAATATCCTCTTATCACAAAGAAAAAGCACAAAGCAAAAAAAACATTGAACCGCCCAAAAAAAACAACAAACTGTATTGCATCGGATTATTACACGATTGATACAGGAATAAAATTTTACCGAAACAAGAGTTAGTTGTTCTCTTATTATACTTTAGAACTTATCCATATGAAAAATGATCATTGTCCTTAATAATCTATTAATTATATTTACAATATATATGAGAAATATAATTTTACTTTTCGGTTAAAAACAAAATGAGGATATCTCGAACGTTATAGCGATAGACAGAGTGAAACGTTTAATAACAATAAACATTTACTATGATAACATTTCATTTGTCAATGAAATACTAGTTGTGTGAGTCGTTCCGCGTGGGATGTTGTATTTTACTTTTCCCTCTTCTCCAATGCGATCCAGAATCCGCTTTTAGGTTGCAACGTAAATTGCTTTTCATCGAACACGACAGACTCGACGGTTTTCTCGGTGGCTTTAAAGACAAATTTGTGAAGGAGATTAGCTACCAAGAGTTTCGTCTCCATGAGAGCGAAACGATTGCCGATGCACATCCTGGGCCCAAGGCCGAAAGGCATGTAAGTGTACGGCATAATGTTGTCCTTGTTCTCGTCGCTGAACCTCTCAGGATCGAACTTCGACGGGTTCGGGAAATACTTGGGATCATTGTGCAACGCGTAAACGGACACCCATATCATGGAGTTGGATTCGACGATCACGCTCTTGCAGCCCGGCTTAGCCGGAGGTAGCTTGTAGTTCTTCACGCAGATCCTGTCGATGAAGATCTCCGGCGGATACTTGCGGAGAGTCTCGGACACCACCATGTCCATGTAAGTCATCTTTGACACCGACTCATAAGAGATCTCGCCGGCTCCCTCAGCAAAGTGTCGCTCCACCTCCTCGAACAAACGATCCTGAATGTCCGAATTAACCGCAAGTTCATGAGCGAGGAAGCACATCAACGTGGCGGATGATTCGAAGCCGGCCAAGAAAAAGATGAAGGCTTGAGACACGATGTCGTCCAATGTCATTATGTACACATTGGGTCCCTCCTTGTTACGAGCTTGCATCAATAAGTGGATCATATCCGGTCGGACGATACCTTGTTCTTCCCGAGCTTGAATAGTCTCAGCCACGATTCTCTTGAAAAATTTACAGGTATTCGGCGAGAAAAGGTGAATACCTAATGCCTTCGCTAATCGCGGACTTGCGCGAAATAAGAGGAACTTAAACGTGCCGATCGACGCCAAGTCCTTGGAAGTCTCCATTCCTCTTGTAAAAAATTCGTTGTTCCGATCCTTCATAGAATTCACGCTTATGCCGAAAGCCGACGTGGCAATTACATCGGTGGTGTACCGTCTGAAGACCTCCTTCGTGTCGATGGAGGAACACAGTTCCGGATGATCTACCAGGTATTCAACGAATTCGCGAGAACACTTTGACACCAATTCAAACATAACTTTCATCTTGCTAGCGGTGAAAGAAGGGCTCAACGTGTTTCTCATTTCTTTCCAGCGGTCGCCACGCAAAAAGCCGATGTTTCTACCGAAGAAGGGATCCATGTCCTCATCCACGACAGGGAAGTGATCCGGGAAATGTTCAAAGTCTTTCACCAAGACGTCTTTGATCAGCTCGGGATCGCGCAGAAGGACGACAGGAGTGGCCATGTCCATCAATCCGATGTACTTAGCGTCCGGCAAATAATTGTAGACGAATTTGCTGTGGTCGGCGAAGCTTATGCGTTGCAATAACATTTTCCAAAACAGTCTTAAAAACGTAATTGTGTCTATGTAAGGGGCACCTCTTTTAATCCAGTATGTGAACAGATGGTACAGAAAAGCGACGATTTTCAGCACACCGATAATGAGCAAAGTGGTCAATAAAACTGCGAAAGGTGACGAGAATAACGACGATAACTCCATCGTGACCGGCGCGTCCAACAACGAATGAGTTCATCGCTTGTGGCATAGGACGTTATAAATGAAGACATATACCGGTTTGTCACCGGCATTCTTATCTTGCGTGTGCAGAGGAGGGAAAGACATCAAACTCGTATGAACCGGAGCATTAACATCGCGTATTATCTTAGTAGTAAACAATCTTTTCAAACGTGCTTCAAGGATATATAATTCCTCGCTAAAGCAAATAATTCGAAATATGACAGAGAAAAATATTTAATTCTGAAAATATTTCGGTACTTTCTTAGATATAATAAATAGTTCCTAATCCATCGAATTGTCCAATTAATGTTTTGCCTTATAGGTTACAACCGCATGTCGTAGTTAATTTGACGTTGAATTTTACGGTTTTGAGACTGGCCTTTCAGAGTGGATTACAATTGTGAAAATATAAATTCATGTACTTATATTTTATTTTGATAGTGAAAATCACTCAAAGTGGAGAAAAATAGGGGAGATTGATCTATAGTACGTGAAAATAAACTTTGTTTTATTGTTTATACTTCCTTTCTTTTCCTTTATATTTTCTTGAATTTTCTTATTTCTTTTCTCTTCCATTCAATATAATTTAAAATTTTATTATAAACGAATGAGAATACGTTTTAATTTTATGTATCAAAATAGATGAAACAGAACGTCCATAAAATACTTACAAATACAAATATGTTCTTCAAGTTTTCTTGGACAAATATAATAAATACAAGTTTCTTATCGTGGCGTTATCATTGCTACGATGATAATGTAGCAAAAGATTACAACTTCTTAAGATTTAAAAAACGGCATCAAAAGATAAATATTTCAAGATGTTCCTCGAAAATGGCATGAATGATTACAAATCGATTATATGACGAGTTAGATATTCAAGAGCACAGTAGTTCAGGGAACACGTGGAAAATGTCGACACTCTTTGCCAACTTTCTTAACTTTATGCAGATAACTACAAATGCATTGTATATTACGAACTCAATCTAATTGTAATTTCGGGAAACTCCGACGGTTACAGTTGGTAGATGCCTACGTTTATCGATTTCTCCCTAAATAAACAATCTTCGCATAGACGTTTAGTATTCCTTTATTTTCACACAATTTGAGCGAAAATCTTGTACAGAAAAGCAATAACAATTAAATTTGATATGTTTACTTTCACATCCACGAATTAAATTCAAGTGCACGTTCTGTGCAATCTCCAATATTCTATATGACTAGGAGAAAGAATACAGTACTCATTGATAAATGAAATATAAAACTAGTTAATCTAAAATTATTATTTTTGCGCGAGTATAATCGAGATATCTCTATCTATTCTTTTGCCGCCTTCAAAAGGCTGCTACTTCATGAACAAGATTAGAGACGCACAACAAGTGACGCAACAATCACTGACGCCGAACGTCCTCACCATAAATAGTCTGCAGCAAGATTGAACTTCAGACCACTCAAGATAAACACTCTAGGCTAAATTACTAAATTGCATGAATGACAGAGCAACTTTACCAAAGCGAAGTCACTCGTTCCTATTAAACTTTAGAAATTGTTTCCGTTGAAAAATATTTTTATATGCATAATAATTTAATAATTGTAACATTTTAATACCTGAGAAGTTCAGTTACCTTTCGTATCAAAAGCAAAACTTGGATAGATCGAACGCAATAATAGCAATACTCTCTTTTATACGAAGCGAAACAAGTTAACAGTAGTAAGTGTCTACTTTGAAACTTTACTTTGATACATTACTTATAATATTCCACCTGTCGACAAATATGAGTTAGGTAAGTCATTCTACGTAAAATGTCTCGTTTTACTTTTCCCTCTTTTCCAATGCGATCCAGAACCCACCAACGGGTTGCAATGACAACTGCTTTGCATCGAACACGATGGGCTCGACGGTTTTCTCCGTGACCTTGAAGATAAATCGGTGTAGGAGATATGCTACCAAGAGTTTCGTCTCCATAAGGGCGAAACGATTACCGATGCACATCCTGGGCCCAAAGCCGAAGGGCATATAAGTGTACGGCACGATGTTGTCCTTGTTTTCGTGGCTGAATCTCTCGGGATCAAATTTCGAAGGGTTCGGGAAATACTTAGGATCATGGTGCAACGCGTAAACAGGTATCCACGTCATGGAATTCGGCTCGAGGATCACGTTCTTGCAACCAGGCTTCGTCGAAGGTAGTTCATAACTCTTCGTACATAGCCTGTCGGTCATGATCGCCGGCGGATATTTCCGGAGAGCCTCAGACACCACCATATCCATGTAGGTCATCTTCGACACTGCTTCATAAGAGATTTCGCCGTTTCCTTCCGCGAAATGCAGCTCCACCTCCTCAAACAAGCGATCTTGAATGTCCCGGTGGACCGCAAGTTCATGAGCGAGAAAGCACATCAACGTCGCAGATGTGTCAAAGCCGGCCAAGAAGAAGATGAAGGCTTGCGCAACGATGTCTTCCAGCGTCATCTCGGGCACATTAGGACCCTCCTTGCTCCGAGCTTGCATCAATAAGTGGATCATATCCGGTCGGACGATACCTTGCTCTTCCCGGGTTTTAATAGTCTCCGCCACGATTCTCTTGAAGAACTTAGATGTATCTGGCAAAATTAGCTGGAAACCAAGCGCCTTCGCTAAGCGCGGACTAGCGCGGTATAACATAAACTTCATCATATTCGAAAAGCCGCCGAACTTGGTGGTCTCCACTCCTCTTGTGAAAAATTCGTTGTTCCGATCCTTCATGGAATTCACGCTTATTCCGAAGGCCGACGTGGCAATTACGTCGGTGGTATACCGTCTGAAGGCATCCTTCGTATCAATGGAAGAACACAGCTCTGGATGATCAGTCAGATATTCAGTGAATTCGCGGGCACACTTTGACACTAGCTCGAACATGACTTTCATTTTGCTGGCGGTGAAAGAAGGGCTCAACGTGTTCCTCATTTCTTTCCAGCGATTGCCGCGCAAGGCAGCGATATTCTTACTGAACAAGGGATCTATCTCCTCATTCGCGAAGGAGCGGTGGTCCGGAAAATGTTCGAAATCTTTCACCATGACATCTCTGATAAGCTCGGTGTCACGCAGAAGGACGACAGGAGTGGTCATGTCCATCAGTCCGATGTACTTTGCATCCCAATCATAATTGTAAATGAAGCTGATATAGTCAGTAATGCTCAAACGTCGCAGCAACAGTCTTCCAGCTATTCGGAAAGCCGGAATTATTCGTATACAAGGTACTCCTCTCTTCTTCCAGTAGGTATGTTGCTGGTACAAAAAGACGATAACTTTCAACACGCCGATGATAAACAAAGTGGTCAATAAAACAGCAAAAGGTGACGAGAATATCGGTGACAACTGCATCGTGACTAACGCGTCGGAAAACGAATGACTTCATCGTTCGCGGTATAGGATGTTATAAATACATACATGTACCGACTCGAACCTTATCATGCGCGAGTGGAGTGGGGAGACAAGTGGGAGAGACAAGACAAACGCCTCTGGGACTATTACGTTTATATCAGTACCGTGTGTCTGTTATCTATGTAGGAAACAATTCTTTTAAACATGCTCTTTCAAGCGCAAGTAACCCCTCGCCAATGCTAACTACTCCAAATTTCACAGAAGAGAATGTTTAACTCCAATGACATTTTCTCAAAGATGATAGTTCTAAAACCGTCGGATTAATATCGCTCGATTAATGATCGATCTATCTTATAGATTGTACTCGCGTGTCATCATTAACTTAACAGTGAATTATTCGATACTGGAATGAAAAATACAGGGTGCGGATTACACACAATTACGGAATTAAAATGAAGAATTTTGAGAATGAAACTGGCTCAACCAGGAAAATAGTGAGAGCTTGATCATTATTGCGCGAAAATATGCTTTGTATTATTACTTACTATTTTCTTTTCGCTTTTACCTTTCATTAAGTATAATTTGAAATATAGTATGCTATAAACGAATGGACGTATATTTTAATTTTATATATCAAAGTAAATGAAACAAAACATACATAAATTCCTTTCAAATATGAGCTTTTTTTCTTTATCGTTGTAGTGTTATTGTTGTTGCAGCAAAAGAATACATCTTCTTGCAATTAAAAACGGAAATTAAGATGCAAATGTCTCAGAATATTTTTCGAAAATATGATTGATAACAAATAGATAGCAGACGACGAATTAAATGATCGAGAGAGAGGGGGCAGGGGTGGTGGATGGGGAAATGGGAGGTGCAATAATTTATAAATATTTAGATATGTGAATTATCTTGACATTTTTACAATTTAGCAACGTGAATAAGCAGTATGGTAATGCCGTAAGATCAAGTATGTACATAAAAAATGACAGATATAAGAATAATTCTAAATTATATGTCAGAGATTATGAATTTTTTCATACATTATCATTTTAGTGTAGAAAGAATTATGTTCAAAAATATGTATTAAAAATTTTGAGAGGATTTTAAAATTTCATTGCAAAAAACAATTTTAAAACTCATATTTATTCTAATGTAACCTGAATACGCCAAATTTTGAGATAATCGATGTTAAGTGTTTCCTCAACTTCTCACTTGGATATTTCAGCATATAGCTTTTAATAAAACTACAGTAACATATAGAATGTCTCTAACTGCAATATTTACTTGTAATTAATTAAATGCAATATTTAACATGCAAAATATTTTTTACGGAAGAATTATCTTTTATTTGAAGAACGTAACAACGAATTACGTTGCAATTTTAATAGATTTCCTCTATATTTTAGATAAATACTATCAGAATATATATTTGGAAATTTTTATGTATTTGACATATTTTTATTATAAATTTAAATTACTTTTCATTTCCAAAAATAACGGCAATTATATTTAGAAAGGTCTCTTCTTATCAAGTTCCCCTGGAATTAAATATTTTCATGGAAACATTAGTACATATTTTCCTTTGTTTATATAACTTGAGCAAAATTTGTGAGCAAAAAAGCAGCAATATTTAAATTTAACATATTTATTTTCATAAGGATGAAATATAAATTCCAGTGGCTATGTTCCATAATCTCCAATAATAATTAATTTAAAAAAAGATAAAAATACTAATTTTAATTAATGAGACATAAAAGTTTAATCCATTTAACTTAAAATTAATATCTTTGCAGTGGCGTAATCGAGATATTTTTAAATTATTCTATTTTTTCCTCTTCCGATGGTTATAAGCTTGTTAAGATTTGGCGACAATAAAACACGTATAACGAACATCTGATTACTGATGCAAAATGTCGTTATCGTGAGTAACACGTGGCAAGGTCAAACTTTGGATCGCTCAGCAAAAACATCATGCGCTATAACACTATTAGAATACTAATATACATAGAATATTACTCTTATTACGCAAGTAATGCAATAATAACAATTTTAACGAAACGAGGATTGCTCGTTAATATTGCACTTTAGAAACTTCCCGTGTAAAAAGTCATCTTTATGTGCGTAATAATCTAATAATTATAATTGTAATAATAGAAAAATTTAGTTTTGATTTTTTGCGGTAAACCGAAATACAATCCTCGAACATAACAGTAGCAATATTCCCTTTAATACGGAACTAAACTGTTAACAGCAATAAGCGTCTACATTAAAAAATTCATAATATTCCATCTACCGATAAACACGAGTAATGTAAGTCATTCCGCATTACGTCTATTGTCAATTCTTCCTCTGCTCCAATGCAATCCAGAATCCGCCATCGGGTTGCAAAGTACGCGTGCTTTTATCAAACACGATGGGCTCGATGGTTTTTTCGGTGGTCTTGAAGACAAAATTGTGTAGGAGGTAAGCCACTAAGAGTTTCGTCTCCATCAGTGCGAAACGATAGGCGATGCACTTCCTGGGCCCGTGGCCGAAGGGCATATAAGTGTACGGCACGATGTTGACCTTGTTCGCGTCGCTGAACCTCTCAGGATCAAACTTGGACGGGTTCGGAAAATACTTAGGATCATGATGCAACGCGTAAACAGGCGCCCATATTATACAGTTAGGCTCGACAATCATGCTCTTGTAACCCGGTTTCGTTGGGGGTAGTTCGTAGCTCTTCACACAAAGTCTGTCGATGAAGGGCGCCGGCGGATACTTCCGAAGAGCCTCAGACATCACCATATCTAAGTAAACCATTTTCGACACTGACTCATAAGAAATCTCACCGTTTCCCTCGGCGAAATGCTGCTCCACCTCTTCAAACAGACGATCCTGAATGTCTCGATGAACCGCGAGCTCATGAGAGACGAAGCACATCAACGTCGCAGAAGTGTCAAAGCCAGCCAAGAAAAAGACGAAGGCCTGCGATACGATGTCATCCAGAGTTATTTCACGTACATTGGGACCCTCCTTGCGAGCTTGCATCAATAAGTGAATCATGTCCGGCCGGACGATACCTTGTTCTTCCCGGACTTTAATGGTCTCCGCCACAATTCTCTTGAAAAATTGGAACGTAGCTGCCGAAAAGAAAGTCACCCCTAACGACTTCATTAATCGCGGAACTGCGCGGAATAATGTAAACTTCAATATGGATGTAAAGCTGAAGAATCTGGTAGACTCCAATCCTCTTGTGAAAAATTCGTTGTCCCGATCCTTCATGGAATTCACACTTATGCCGAAAGCAGACGTGGCAATTACGTCGGTGGTGTACCGTCTGAAGGCCTCCTTAGTATCGATGGAAGAGCAGAGCTCCGGATGATAGACTAGATATTCAGCGAATTCGCGGGAACACTTTGACACCAGCTCGAACATAGCTTTCATCTTACTGGCAGTAAAAGAAGGGCTCAACGTATTTCTCATTTCTTTCCAGCGATTTCCACGCAAAGAGAAAACGTTCTTACCGAACAAAGGGTCTAATTCTTCATTCGCATAGGTAGGGTGGTGCGGAAAATGTTCGAAATCTTTCACCATAATATCTCTGATCAGCTCGGGGTCACGTAGAAAAATGAGAGGAGTGGCCACGTCCATCAGTCCGATGTACTTTGCGTCTGGATCATAATTGTAGGTAAAATTCATGTAGTCGGTGAAACGAATGCGTCGAAGCAACACCTTCCAAGACATTCCCAAAAACGAAATTGTTCGTATTTTAGGTATGCCCCTTTTACTCCAGTAAGTGTACTGATAGTACATAAGAGCTATAACTTTCAACGAGCCGATAGTTAGTAAGATAGCCAAAAAGAGTCCAAAGGTTGACGAGAACAACGGTGACGACGACGACGACTCCATCGTGAAAAATGCGTCCGGAAACGAATGGTTACGTCGCTGGCGGAACAGGATGTTATAAATACGCACATGTACATTCACCAACACATCTTATCATTCGCGAGCAGAAGAGGGGACGAGGAAAATATCTCTTGGACTATAACAGACCATAGCATCCTTAACATGTGTTTTCTACGTTATAAATAATCCTTTTAATAAAAGTATTGTTTCAAGCGTCGTGATTTTTCGCCAAAGTATATTATTCAAAATTTCACGAAAAGTTTTATGTCGACGATGTTATAATACTTTCTCAAAGATAATAGCTTTTGATTTATTGAATTGACATTTTTTTCAATCTTCTATCTTATAACTTGCATTCGTGTGTAATAGTAATTTAACATCAAATTATTCGGTTCTAAGACAGAAATTTTGGAGTACAAATTTTACGTATAAATTTTGCGTACGAAAATATAAAAAATGCGATTATATTTAATTTCCTCAAAATTACAATGAAAAATACTAGGTCGTGAAAATACACTTTGTACTTTCATTTGTTCTTGCTTTCTTTTCTCTTAAATTTTGCAATTCCTTAATTAAATATAATTAAAATTTTTTATGTTATAAAATGTGAGCATATGTTATCAATTTATATATTAAAATAAATAGAACAGAATATCCATAAAATATTTACAAATAAAAAATAACTTTTTCATCTACACTTTCTCATCTTACATTTCATTTTATTATATTATATTTTTTTCATGTACACTTTTTCATCTTACATTTCGTTATTATAGCAATTGCGTTATTATAGCAAGAAATATATCTTCTTGAGATTAAAAAACAATCTTGAGAAATAAATGTCTTAGGATATATCTTGAAAGCACCTTGCTGATAACAAACTGATTGCAACTGGCGATGTAGATATTCAAGAATACAATAATTCAGGGACATTTCAACGAGTAGTAAAACATTCTTTTATGGCGAATTAGATTAGATGTATTAATACGCACCGAGTGCGAACTAAGATTGGTTTATAGCTCGTTTTTATACTTAAAAATAGTCTTAAATACTACTTCAAATATATCTTAGTCAATAAAATAATGTATACAGCATCTGTACGGATCGTTTCTTTGAAAATTATAAGAAGCTTTTGAAGTCGTATTTAAGACGAAAAATAAAAACCTAAATAAAGACCTAAAAATAAAAACGGATTATGAACAAATTTTAGTGCGTACTCAGTGTGCACTAATACATCCAATCGAATTCGTCATTAGATTTAACAATATTATAAAAGTATATTCAAAGAAGTGTAACTATAGTGGAAATAAGGGAAATTTATAGAGAGAGGAAGATAGGATTATTTTCTTCCTAATAATTGGTAATATATTTTTGATTGAAATACATCTGATGTATTTCTACGTGATATATATAAGAACTTAGTTTACCAAATTGTAAAGATTATAATTTTAAGTCAAGGTGAGTAAGACAATTTTTGGCTATCGAAAGTGATTATTTTCTTACTATAATATTTGTGACATCTGTTTTGGATTTTATAAGAATCCCATTCGACATATTCTAATATATACTTAGCTTTACAGTACGAGTAAACTCTAATTTCAATGTTTCATGTAAATGCTTTGCCAATCATTTTAATGTAAAGAAGTCAATCAGGGAGATATTTTATTGAGAGAATGTTGGGACATCCTAATCCTCGTTTGAGATATATTTATATTTCCATAAAGTTTAATTTACTATATCAGTTTTATTATCATTTTCCCACAGAGTGTTATAATCGCGCATTATTTTATTCACCTTACCGCTGCCGAAACGCTGTCAAGGACGTTTCGACCGCGCTACGGAAATACACGCATTGCAAGAAAATACCACGTTGGACATTACAATACACGGGTTCAGTACGGCACGTGCCCGCCCGACTGTTGCTAAGACATCCCTATGGAATAATTAATATACCAATAAAAAATAACCCTACGGAAATAATTTGATCAGCGTATAAGATCAGCGTCGACCCTGAAGGAGCAGCTCTCTAATACAAAACTTCACACAGTCGCGTATCTCGCGTAACCGGAATCTCGCATAATCTTACACAGACGTAGACCAAGGACAAATTTCAGAATTGAATATATAACATCGATTAAATCAGTTATTAAAATTAACTTTTATATATTTTTTGTTGTAGAAACAACAAATAGAAATGCAACTACCACTGGCACTATATAAAAAAATATATGCAATTGTTGATATATTAATTAAAATTTAAAGGTTTGCAGTATATTGGAATTTTATTACGTTCGGAATTGGAATCGCGTTTTGAGTGAAAATGATTCCGACCTTTCGTAAACATTACTGTATCAGGTTGTAATATCAACCTATTCATTTTCCTTATAAAGAGAATAATTACATTCAAAATGCAAATTACAAATTCTCTTGGAATTAATAATTTTCACGGAAACCTTACTTTATATTCCTCTTTGTCTACATAACTTCAGCAAAATTTGTGAGCGAAAAGACAGTAATACTTATATTTAATATATTTATTATCATTACCATAAATTAAATTCATATAAATGTGTTCCATAATCTCCAATAATAATTAATTTAAGGGAAGATAAAACTACTAATTTTAATTAATAAAACATAAAAGTTCTATCCACTTAACTTAAAATTAATATCTTTAAAGTAACATAGTCTTTACAGTAACATAGATATTTCTAAATTACTCTATTTTTTCTTTTTCCCGTGATTATAAGCTGTTACCAAATTGCCGACAATAAGACATGTCTAACGAACAACGATCACTTATGCAAAATATCCTCATCGTAAGCGGCGCGTGGCAAGGTCAAACATTTAATAACTGATTTAATCGATGTTATATATTCAATTCTGAAATTTGTCCTTGGTCTACGTCTGTGTAAGATTATGCGAGATTCCGGTTACGCGAGATACGCGACTGTGTTAATATTATACTTTAGAAATTTCCCGTGCAAAAAGTTATCTTTATATGCCTAATAATCTAATAATTATAATTGTAATATTAGAGATTATAATTGTAATATTAAATTGTAATATTAGAGATTTTTATTGTAATATAAAGTAATTTAATTATAATATTAAAGAAAAAAAGTTTTGATTTTCTACGATAAAACGAAATACAGTCCGAATGTAATAGTAGCAATATTCCCTTTTATACGGAGCTAAACCGTTAACAGCAATAAGCGTCTACTTTAATAAATTCATAATATTCCATCTATCGATAACCACGAGTTATGTAAGTTCCGCGCGTTACGTCTACTGTCACTTTTTCCTCATCTCCAATGTAATCCAGAATCCACCATCGGGTTGCAAAGTGAACTGCTTTTTATCAAACACAATGGGCTCGACGGTTTTTTCGGTGGTCTTGAAGACGAAATTGTGTAGAAGGTAAGCCACCAAAAGTTTCGTCTCCATAAGGGCGAAACGATTGCCGATGCACTTCCTGGGCCCGTGGCCGAAGGGCATATAAGTGTACGGCACGATGTTGACCTTGTTCACGTCGCTGAACCTCTCGGGATCAAACTTGGACGGGTTCGGAAAATACTTAGGATCATGATGCAACGCGTAAACAGGCGCCCACGTCATACAGTCGGGCTCGACAATCACGCTCTTATAACCTGGTTTCGTTGGAGGTAGTTCGTAGCTCTTCACACAAAGTCTGTCGATAAAGATCACCGGCGGATACTTCCGAAGAGCCTCGGACACCACCATATCCATGTAAACCATTTTCGACACTGACTCATAAGAGATCTCACCGTTTCCCTCGGCGAAATGCTGCTCCACCTCTTCAAACAGACGATCCTGAATGTCTCGATGAACCGCGAGCTCATGAGCGACGAAGCACATCAACGTCGCAGAAGTGTCGAAGCCGGCCAAGAAAAAGATGAAGGCCTGCGATACGATGTCATCCAGAGTCATTTCATGTACACTGGGACCCTCCCTGTTTCGAGCTTGCATTAATAAGTGGATCATGTCCGGCCGGACAATACCTTGCTCTTCACGGACTTTAATGGTCTCCGCCACAATTCTCTTGAAAAATTGGGACGTAGCTGCCGGGAAGAAATTCACTTTTAGCGCCTTCATTATACGCGGTACCGCGCGCAATAATATCATCTTCAATAAGGATGTAAAGCTGCCGAATCTGGTAGACTCCACTCCTTTCGTGAAAAATTCGTTGTCCCGATCCTTCATGGAATTCACACTTATGCCGAAAGCCGACGTGGCAATTACGTCGGTGGTGTACCGTCTGAAGGCCTCCTTCGTATCGATGGAAGAGCAGAACTCCGGATGATCGACTAGATATTCAGCGAATTCGCGGGAACACTTTGACACTAGCTCAAACATAGCTTTCATCTTACTGGCAGTAAAAGACGGGCTCAACGTATTCCTCATTTCTTTCCAGCGACTTCCGCGTAAGGAAAAAACGTTCTTACCGAACAAAGGGTCTAACTCTTCACTCACAAAGGTACGGTGGTCCGGAAAATTTTCAAAATCTTTCACCATAATATCCCTGATCAGCTCGGGGTCACGCAGAAGAATGAGAGGAGTGGCCATGTCCATCAGTCCGATGTACTTTGCGTCTGGATCATAATTGTAGGTGAATTTACTGTAGTCGATGAAACTAATGCGTCGAAGCAACACCTTCCAAGACGTTCCCAAAAACGGAATTGTTCGTACGTTAGGTATGCCCCTTTTACTCCAGTAAGTGTACTGATGGTGCACAAGAGCTATAACTTTCAACGCGCCGATAGTTAGTAAGGTAGCCAATACGAGTCCAAACGTTGACGAGAACAACGGCGACCACGATGACTCCATCGTGACAGACGCGTCCCAGAACGAATGATTACGTTGCTAGCGGCACAGGATGTTATAAATACGCACATATACATTCACCAACACATCTTATCAATTGCGAGCAGAAGAGGGGATGAGGAAAACACCTCTTGGACTATAACCGGTCGTAACATCTTTAACATGTGTTTTTTACGTAATAAACAATCCTTTTAACAAACGTTTTGTTTCAAACGTCGTGATTTTTCGCCAAAATATATTATTCAAAATTTCACGAAAAGTTTTTATTTTATTTAAAAGTTTTTAGTTTTTATTTCGACGATATTATAATACTTTCTCAAGGATAATAGCTTCTGATGCATTGAATTGTCGTCTTATCAATCTTCTATCTTATAACTTGCACCCGTGTGTAATAATAATGCTTAATTTAACGTCAAGTTATTTGATTCTAAGACAGAAATTTTGAAGTGCAAATTTTACGTACGAAAATATAAAAAGTGAGATTATATTTTATATTCTCAAAATAACAATGAGAAGTTCTAGGTCGTGAAGATACACTTTGTACTTTCATTTATTCTTACTTTCTTTTCTCTTAAGTTTTGCAATTCCTTAATTAAATATAATTAAAATTTTTTTATGTGATAAAAAGTGAGCTTATGTTATCAATTTAAATATTAAAATAAATAGAACAGAATATCTATAAAACATTTACAAATAAAAAAATTATTTTTTCATCATTCCGTTTTTTTAGCAGTTGCGTTATTATAGCAATAAATATATCTTCTTGACATTAAAAAACAGTCTTGAGAAATAAATGTCTTAAGATATATCTTGAAAGTATCATGCTGATAACATATCGATTAACGATGTAGATATTCAAGAGAACAATAGTCCAGGGACATTTCAACGTGTGGAAAAAGTCAACATTTTTTATGGCGAATTCGAATAAATGCAATAATACGCACCAAATGCGAACTAAGATTGTTTCATAACCCTTTTTTATACTTAAGAGTCGTTTTAAACGCTATGAGTTTAATATAAACGTTGATGGAATTCATATATTTTATACATCGGTTTAACTATGAATTACCAGAACTTTATATTAATTTTACTATCCACAAACATTAAAAAAAGATTAGATACAATGTACTGTGTATTGATTTGTTTTCTCTGTTTTTTTAATTGCATACTTGGATTCTAAAAATACTACATATGAAATATTCGCAAAGTCCGTCCTGGATGTCCTAAAGATTTTCTGAGGATATCGTTCTATCCGGAGGATACCGTGCTATCTGGGAAGAGACAAAATGTCAAAATTGTTCCACTTCATCTGTCCTATATTGCGAACTAAATCTATTCATTAATTTCAGGAAATTTCAACTCGGGAAAAAACTGACAGTTATACTTGAGCATAACTCTAATTTTATCGAGTTATTCTTAAATGAATTATTTTCAAAAGAGCCTTTATTATATTCACTTCTAATATATAACATAAGTGAAAATTGTGTATGAGATAGAAGGAAGCAATATATAAGATTTAATATGTTTACTTTCACAACCATAAACTAAATTCAAAGGCCTACGTTCTATCATCTCCATTCAATCTATATAATTAAAATAAGGTATCTATTTCAACCAATGAAAGATAAAAATTCTATCTAGTTAACCTAAAATAATTATTTTCACAATAACATAGTCGAAATATTTATAATATTTATAATAATATTAATTATTAGATCTGCCCTTTTCACAGGCTCGCATAAGCTTGCTATCTGATTTCCGGCGATGAGTCTAACGTCCCACGAACGACAATCACTAACGCGAACGTTCATATGATGAATAGTCAGTGACAAAATCGGACCTTGCACAGTACAAAAAACATATTATGCTCTGTCATTAGATTATTACTCGAATATTATTATTGGAATATTATACGAATATTATACGAATATTATACGAATATTATACGAATATTATAGGAATGATATATACAATAAAGCAATTTTACGGAAACTAGAGAGGCAACTTTATATTATATTTTAGAAATTTTTGCGTGATAAAAAATAATATTTATTCGTGTAACAATCTAATAAATACAATTATAACATTTAGGAAATTACAAAGATTGGGACAGTTCATATTTCTTGTATTAAAAACTAAACGACGATATAATCTTATGAACATAATAATAAAAATATTATCCAAGGATTTCCTTTCAAGTTAAGAAGTAAATAGTTAATAACAGTAAACGTCCATTTCGATACCAGTCCCATATTTCACCTGTCGATAAACACGAGTTATATAAATAATCACCGGTCTGATGTTTCGTTTTACTGTTCTCTTTTCTCCAATGTAATCCAGAATCCGCCTACAGGTTGCATCGCGAACTGCGTTTTATCAAACACGATAGGCTCAACGGTTTTCTCCGAGGTCTTAAAGATAAATGTGTGTAGGAGATAAGCCACTAAAAGTTTCGTCTCCATTAGGGCGAAACGATTGCCGATGCATTTTCTGGGCCCAAGGCCGAAGGGCATGTACGTATACGGCACAATGTTGTCCTTATTCTCATGGCTGAACCTTTCGGGATCGAACTTGGACGGGTTCGGAAAATACTTAGGATCGTGATGCAACGAGTAAACTGGTATCCACATCAACCCGTCAGACTCGACGATCACACTTTTGTAACCTGGCTTCGCCGGAGGTAGCTCATATCTATTCACGCAAACCCTGTCGATGAAGATCACCGGCGGATATTTCCGAAGAGCCTCGGACACTACCATGTCCATATAGGTCATCTTCGACACTGCCTCATAAGAGATCTCGCCGTTTCCCTCGGCGAAATGCTGCTCCACCTCCTCAAACAAGCGATCTTGAATGTCCCGGTGAACCGCGAGTTCATGAGCGACAAAGCACATCAACATCGCAGACGTCTCAAAGCCGGCCAAGAAAAAGATGAAGGCTTGCGCAACGATGTCTTCCAGCGTCATCTCGTGTGCACTAGGACCTTCCTTGTTCCGAGCTTGCATCAGTAAGTGAATCATATCCGGCCGGACAATACCGTGCTCTTCTCGTGCTTTAATGGTCTCGGCTATGACTCTCTTGAAGAAGTCAGTTGTGGTCGGCGAGAAAAAGCGGATATCTAGCGCCTTCGCTAATCGCGGACACGCAAGTAATGTGAAGATTTTCAACAGGCCAAACGATATGAAGCTTTTGGTTACCTCACTTCCTCTCATGAAGAATTCGTTGTCCCGATCCTTCATAGAATTCACGCTTATGCCGAAAGCCGACGTGGCGATCACATCGGTAGTGTAACGCCTGATGGCTTCTTTGGTATCGATGGAGGAGCAAAGCTCCGGATGTTCGACCAAGTATTCGGCGAATTCACGAGAACACTTTGACACTAATTCGAACATGGCTTTCATCTTGCTTGCGGTGAAAGAAGGGCTCAAGGTTGTCCTCATTTCCCTCCAACGGTTGCCACGTAAAAAGAAGATGTTCTTACTGAACAACGGGTCTATGTCGTCATTCGTGAAGGTGCGGTGGTCCGGAAAATGTTCGAATTCCTTCACCGTGATGTCCCTAATGAGCTCGGGATCACGCAGAAGAATGAGAGGAGAGACTAGATCCATCATTCCGATATATTTGGCGTCCGGATCATAATTGTAAGTGTATTTGCAATAGTCGGTGAAATTAATGCGTCGAGTCCACACTTTCCAAGACGTTCCAAGGACCGGGATTGATCGTATGTAAGGTGCGCCCCTCTTACTCCAATAAGTGTATTGATTGTATATGAAAGCTATAGCTTTTAGCGCGCAGATAGTTAGCAAAGTAGTCAATAACAGTGCAAAAGGTGACAAGAACAATAACGGCGAGGATGACGACTCCATCGCGATCGGAACGTGCGAGAACGAATGACTTCGTCGCTCGCGGCGCAGCATGTTATAAATATAGACATGTACATTCACCAACGCAAATTTTATCATGCGCGAGCAAAGGTGGGGACGAGAGGAACGCCTCTCGGATTATAACGAGTTATAGCATTGTTAACATGTGTTATCTGTGTAGTAAACAATCCTCTTAAAAGTGTTGTTTCAAGTGACTTAATGCCTCACCATGCGAATTGATCAAAATTTTGCAGAATATTTCATTTTGACAATATTTTAATGTTTTCTCAAGGATAATCATTCTTAACCCATTGAATTGCGGTTCGATCAATCTTTTACCTTATGGCTTGCGCTCGCGTGTAATAGTAATAATTAATTCAACATTAAATTATTCAGTTAGAAGACGAAAATTTTAGAATGCAAATTTTATACTTAGGGAAATGTAAAAGAAGATAAGATTATATTTTGTTTTGAGTATGAAAATGACTCAAAGAAAAAGTAACGATGAGATTTTAATCACCAGGGCGTGGAAATACAAATTGTGTTTTCACTTAATTTTACTTCCTTTTCTTTTAGGTCTGCTTTAATTTTTTTTCTCTTCCTTGATCAAATGTAATTAAAATTTTGTTATGTTATATACGAATAAGAATATGTTTCAAATTTATATATAAAAATTAATGGAACGGAATATTCATAAAATATAAATAAAAGTATTACTCTTTTATCATTTCGTTGTCATTGTTGCCATAACAATGCAAAAAAAATACATCTTCCACAAGCTAAAAAATACCTGTGAGATATAAAAGCCAGGATGTTTCTTAAAAATATCATGATAGATAACAAATCAATAGCAGATAACGATATAGACTGTCAATACTACGATAACACTGCAATAGTTCAGGGATATTTCGATGTGTGAAAGAAATTGGCATTCGTTTTAAATTTAACAGCTCCACATCAGTATATTGAGATAATTGCAACTACAATATACATCACAAACTCAACCGATTTACAATTTCAGAAGATTCTGACAATTGCATTTGGAAAGATCTCCATTCTTATCAAGTTCTATCTGAATGATTTTCACAAAAACTTTAATTTGTATTCTATTTCTATATAATGTGAATAAGAATTGTATTTCAGAGAGAAGGGAGCAAAATATATATAAAATGTATTATTTACTTTCACAATCATGATCTATAACTTAATTCAAGCACCTACGTTCTGTAATCTCTACTTATCTATATGATTAAAAGAAAGACTACGATAACTCCATTTTAACCAATGAAATGAAAAAATTCAAATATAAAATTACTATTTATATTTGACTATATTTTACTATTTTCACAGTAGTTCGAGATATCTATAAATTACTCTTTTGCCGTGCTCAAGCTTGATAACAGATTCCAGAAGATAAGACACATCTAACATACGGCCATCACTGATATAAAACGTCCTCACAGTGAGTGGGGCTTGGCAAAATCGAACCTTGCACTGTCCAGAAAAAAAATTGTGTTCTGTCATCAGATTATTACTCATGTTACACAAATGATACATACAATGAAGCAATTTTACAGAAATAAGGATCGCACGTTTCAACTATATCTTAGAAATTTCCTATGTATACAAATATCTTTACGTGTGTAATGATCTGATAATTATAACTATAATATTTCGAAAATTCAGTTTTGATTTTTTTTATATCAAAAACTAAATGAGGATATCTCAAACGTAATAATAACAATATCCTCTATTAAAGCTTAACAGTTAATAACGGTAAGGGTCCACTTTGATCATTTTTACATGTCGATAAACACGGGTTACGAAAATCGTTTAGTTTGATTTTTCCCTCTTCTCCAGGGCGACCCAAAACCCGCCTTCAGGTTGCAATGCTGCGAGTTGCTTTTTATCGAATACGACAGGCTCGACAGTCTTCTCGGTGACTTTGAAGACGAATTTGTGCAGGAGATGAGCCACCAAGAGCTTCGTCTCCATAAGAGCGAAACGATTGCCGATGCACATCCTGGGACCAGCGCCGAAGGGCATGTAAGTGTACGGCATGATGTTGTCCTTGTTCTCGTCGCTGAACCTCTCAGGATCGAACTTGGACGGGTTCGGGAAATACTTGGGATTATGGTGCAACGAGTAAACAGGCACCCATATCATGTTGTTGGGCTCGACGATCAAGCTTTTGCAACCGGGCTTCGCCGGAGGCAGCTCGCATCTCTTCACGCAAACCCTGTCGAGGAAGATCACCGGCGGATACTTCCGAAGAGCCTCGGACACCACCATATCCATGTAAACCATTTTCGACACTGACTCATAAGAGATCTCGTCATTTCCCTCGGAGAAATGCCGCTCCACCTCCTCAAACAGGCGATCCTGAATGTCTCGATGAACCGCGAGTTCATGGGCGACAAAACACATCAGCGTTGCGGAAGTGTCGAAACCAGCCAAGAAGAAGATGAGGGCCTGCGCGACGATGTCTTCCAGATTCATCTCGCGCACACTAGAACCTTCCTTGTTCCGGGCCTGCATTAGTAAATGAATCATGTCCGGCCGGAAGATACCCTGCTCTTCCCGGGTTCTAATAGTCTCCGCAACAATTCCTTTGAAAAACTTAGCCGTATCCAGCGAGATTATCTGGAGACCAAACACCTTCGCTAATCGCGGACTCGCACGTAATATCAAGAATTTCAATAAGCCAAGCGATGCAAAGCTCTTGGTTGTCTCAGTTCCTTTCAGGAAGAATTCGTTGTCTTTATCTTTCATAGAATTCACGCCTATGCCGAAAGCCGACGTAGCGATCACATCGGTAGTGTAACGTCTGAAGGCTTCTTTGGTATCGATGGAGGAGCAGAACTCTGGATGTTCGGCCAAATATTCGGCGAATTCGCGAGAACACTTGGATACTAGCTCGAACATGACTTTCATCTTGCTGGCGGTGAAAGAAGGACTCAACGTATTCCTCATTTCTTTCCAACGATCGCCACGTAAGAAGAAGACGTTCTTGTTGAATAACGGGTCTATGTCGTCACTCGTGAAGCTGCGGTGGTCTGGGAAATGTTCGAATTCTTTCACCATGATGTCTCTGATCAGCTCGGGATCACGCAAAAAAATGAGAGGAGTGGCCATACTCATCGTTCCGATATACTTAGCGTCCGGCTCATAATTGTAGATGAATTTGGTATAGTCGGTAAAGCTCATATTTCGACGAACCATTAACCAAAATATCCGCCAACTCGCAATTGTTCGTATATAAGGAACACCTCTTTTATACCAGTAAATATGTTGATCGTATATAAAAATTATAGCTTTCAGTGCGCAGATAGTTAACAAAGTAGCCAACAACAGCGCAAACGGTGACGAGAGTAACGACGACGATGACGACTCCATCGTGACCGGCACGTACGAGAACGAATGACTTCGTCGCTCGCGGCGCAGCATGTTATAAATATAGACATGTACATGCACCAACACAAATTTTATCATGCGCGAGCAAAGGTGGGGACGAGAGGAACGCCTCTCGGATTATAACGAGTTATAGCATTATTAACATGTGTTATCTGTGTAGTAAACAATCCTCTTAAAAGTGTTGTTTCAAGTGACTTAATGCCTCACCAAGCCTCACCAATTGATCAAAATTTTTCAAAATATTTCATTTTGACAATATTTTAATGTTTTCTCAAGGATAATCATTCTTAACCCATTGAATTGCGGTTCGATCAATCTTTTACCTTATGGCTTGCGCTCGCGTGTAATAGTAATAATTAATTCAACATTAAATTATTCAGTTAGAAGACGAAAATTTTAGAATGCAAATTTTATACTTAGGGAAATGTAAAAGAAGATAAGATTATATTTTGTTTTGAGTATGAAAATGACTCAAAGAAAAAGTAACGATGAGATTTTGATCACCAGGGCGTGAAAATACAAATTGTGTTTTCACTTAATTTTACTTCCTTTTCTTTTAGGTTTGCTTTAATTTTTTTTCTCTTCCTTGATCAAATGTAATTAAAATTTTGTTATGTTATATACGAATAAGAATATGTTTCAAATTTATATATAAAAATTAATGGAACGGAATATTCATAAAATATAAATAAAAATATTGCTTCTTTATCATTTCATTATGATTGTTGTCGTGACAGTGCAACTAAAACCATATCTTCCTCAGGATATAAAACAGTCTTGATATAAAAATCAGGATATTTCTTGGAAATATCATGATAAATAACAAATTAATTTCAGATAACGATGTAGATAGTCAACAGATACTACGATAATTCAGGGACATTTTGTCATGTGAGGGAAATGGACATTCTTTTCAGTTTTACGGCATTATATTAATATATTCAGATAATTTTTGCAACTACATTGTATATTACTAACTCAACCAATTTACAATTTCAGGAAACTCCGACAATTGCATTTGAGACCTCTATTCTTATCAAGTTTTACCTGAATGAATAATTTTCATAAAAACCTTTGTTTGTATTCTTTTTTTTATATAAGTGAGAAGTGTACATCAGGGAGAAAAATGATATATATATATGTTTGCTTTCATAACCATGAACTTACTTTCAAGTACTTACTTTCTGTAATCTCCACTTAATCTAAATGATTAAAGAAGAGAATTAAATATCTTCATTTTAACCAATAAAACATACAAGTTCTAATCTCAAATTATTATTTTTACAGTAGTTCAAAATATCTATAAATTATTCTATTCGTTATTTTGCTACGCTTACGCTCAAGCTTATTACAATAAAGAAATTCCAGATAACGAGATGTTTAACGAACGGCGATCACTGACGTGAAAAATCCTCATCATAAGTGTGGCTTGGCAAAAACGAATTTTGCACCGTTCAGGACAAATATTGTGCTCTGCACTGTTATCACATTATTACTCATATTACGCAAATAATACATATAATGGAGCAATATTACCGAAACGAAGGTCGCACGTTTCTATTATAGTTTAGCAATTTTCTGTGTATAAAAATATTTTTACGCGCGTAATAATCTGGTAACTGCAACTATAATATTTGGCAAATTCGGTTTTAATTTTTTACATCAAACATTAAATAAAGCCATCTCGAACGTAATAATAACAATATTTTCTTGTATACAGAGCGAAACAGTTAATAACAGTAAGGTTCTATTTTGACATTTCGATAATCTTCAATGTCGATAAACACAGGTTATGAAAATCGTTTCGTTTTACTTTTCCCTCTTCTCCAATGCGATCCAGAATCCACCGTCGGCTTGCAAAGAGAACTGACTTTTATCAAACACGACAGGTTCAACAGTCTTCTCTGTGACTTTGAAGATAAATTTATGTAGGAGATGAGCTATCAAGAGTTTCGTCTCCATGAGAGCAAAACGATTGCCGATGCATTTCCTGGGACCAACGCCGAAGGGCACGTAAGTGTACGGCAAGAAGTTGTCCTTGTTCTCGTCGCTGAACCTCTCGGGGTCAAATTTGGACGGGTTTGGGAAATACTTCGGATCATGGTGCAACGCGTAAACAGGCACCCATATCATGTTGTTGGGCTCGACGATCAAGCTTTTGCAACCTGGCTTCGCCGGAGGTAGTTCGCATCTCTTCGTACAAAGCCTGTCGAGGAAGATTACCGGCGGATACTTCCGGAGAGTCTCCGACATCACCATATCCATGTAAGTCATCTTCGACACTGCTTCATATGAGATTTCGCCGTTTCCCTCGGCAAAATGCCGCTCCACTTCCTCAAACAGGCGATCCTGAATGTCTCGGTTAACCGCGAGTTCATGGGCGACGAAGCACATAAACGTCGCGGTTGTGTCAAAGCCAGCCAGGAAAAAGCCAAAGGCTTGTCCGACGATGTCGTCCAATGTCACCTCACGCGCATTGGGACCTTCCTTGTCCCGAGCTTGCATCAGTAAGTGAATCATATCCGGCCGGACGATACCTTGTTCTTCTCGGATTTTAATATTCTCCGCAACGATTCTCCTGAAGAATTTCGTCGAATCCGGTGAGAAAATATACAAACCTAGCGCCTTCGATAATCGCGGGCTCGTGCGTAATATTAAGAACTTCAGCATGCTAAGTGATAGAAGGCTCTTAGTTATCTCAATTCCTCTCAGGAAGAATTCGTTGTCCCGATCCTTCATGGAGTTGACGGTTATACCGAAGGCCGACGTAGCGATCACATCAGTAGAGTACCGCCTGAAGGCGTCTTTTGTATCGATAGAGGAGCACAGTTCCGGATGTTCCGCCAAGTATTCGGTGAATTCGTGGGAACACTTTGACACCAGCTCGAACATAACTTTCATCTTACTGGCAGTGAAAGTGGGGCTCAACGTGTTCCTCATTTCTTTCCATTGGTTCCCGCGTAAAAAAAAGACGTTCTTACTAAATAAGGTGTCTATGTCCGTACTTGTCAAAGTACGATGGTCCGGGAAATGTTCAAATTCTTTCACTGTGACGTCTCTGATCACTTCGGGATCACGCAAAAGGACGAGAGGTGTGGCCGTGTCCATCATTCCGAGATACTTAGCGTCCGGCTCATAATTATAGATGAATTCCGAATAGTCGGAAAAGCTTATTCTCCGACGAAACATTGTCCAAAACATCCGCAAACTTGTAGTCGATCGCATAAAAGGGACACCTCTTTTTTTCCAATAAGTGTGTTGATTATGAAGAGAAACTATAACTTTCAGCACGCATATTATTAGCAAGGTGGTCAGTAATAGCTTAAAAGGCGACGAGAATAACAACGATAACAACTCCATTGTGACCAGTCTGACGTAATCTCAAACAAGTCCGAGAACGAATGACTTCGGTCACAGACTGAAGACTGTCAGTCGCGACTAGAGATATCAATTCAGAAATGTGACGTAATTCACGATATGATCCACCAATGCGAATCTTTGCATCATCACGCAGAAGCAGAGTAGGGAGCGAGAGTGACGCTTCACGAAGTATCATCGACGATTGCATCAACAACATGTTATCTATGTAATAAAAAATCCTCTTAAACGTACTACATCAAGCAGGTACAAATCCTCGCCAAAGCGAATTATTCAAAAGTTCACGGAGAAAGATGTTTCACTTCGATGACATTTTGATACTTTTTCAGAGTTAATAGGTAACTTTTAATCCATCGAATTACCGCTCGATTAATCTTCTGTGTTATAGGTTGCATTCAATGCAATGATTAATTTAATATTGAGTCGTTCGGTTGTAAGATGAAAATTTCAGAGCGCGTATTATATATAATTTTGGAAATATAAAATGAAAATTTATCTCATTTCAATCGTGAAAATAGTTCGAGGAAAAAACGATGTGAGATTAATCGCTGGAATGATAAGATATGCCTTGTATCATCATTCAATCAGCGATACACAGTGCTTGTTCTCATGCTGGATTGCCTGCTAAATGGAAATATTGCGTTCTGGTTAGTGTATTTGCGAAAATGGATAACGATACACCAATCAAAACGCAGTAATTCCATCCAGCAAACAATCCAACGCGAAAACAAACATCGTGTGCCGCTGGTTTTACTTTTTCTTTTTTTTATTTTTATACGCAAAAAAATTATTATTATTATTTGCAAGGTTCTATAGTGGGCTTCTTAAATTTTCTAAGACTAAAAGTCAACGACCACTCAAACAGATAAAAATTCATCGGCGAGTGCAATAATTTTTGCACTTTCACGATGTCTCACGAATATATGAATAAATCCTGTGAAACCTTAAGTTTTTCTTGTTGTTATCCTAACATATTTGATTCATAAATTTCTTTCAAAAAACGTGGGACTTATCACACATAAATCACGTTTGTTGTCGCAAATTAATATATACTATATAATGTTATATTAATATACTAAAACAATTATATTATTATAAATATCATGAACATAATTAAATTAATTATAATATTAATATAATTATATTAATATCATAACTAATATAACTAATATAATTGTGTGTTCATTCGTTTATAATTAAAATTTTCATTCGTTTATAATTAAAATTTTATTATATCATAAACGATTGAGCACACATTTTAACTGTATAAATTAAAATAAATGAGACGGGACATTCGTAAAGTACTTACAAATACGAGCATGACGAAGAATGCAGCGAGATACGAGGTTCGCGCCATCCACATGCTGACGAATCGGTAGTGTTCTCCGGTTACTACATTTCTACAAGAGAGAAATTGAAGAATTTAATACGTTAATCTTTCCAATGTCTGTCGATTGTTAATTTATTCTCTACCACAATATCTGGCCAAAAAACGACCATATGATGCGCAAAACTACAATTATTTCTTAGCCGAACATTACAACTTTCAGTATCCAAAGATTCATTACGTTTATACAGCAACGCTAATCCGCTTTAGTAACAACTGTAATTAGAATCCCTAATGAAAATGTCGCGTAAACGGTACTTTACACCAAAATTACATCAGTTGTGGTTACAGTCTACATCTATTTTCGAAGAGATGTAGATTTATAAATCCGGATTTAAAGAACCATATAAACGATAAAATCATTTTGATAGTTACACAGCTAATCTAGAAATATTCAAACAGCCATATTTGTTTTTATTTATCTTATAATGTATAGCTATATGATTTTATAAGAATGAATTCTATGGTAAAGTAATCTTTACCATTAGAGATTAATTAACACCGATTCGTGTAAACAAATACAAGTCTAAAGAAATTATAATTACAGTTAAAGTTATAATTACTAAACAAGATTAAACGTTGTCGTCGTAGTTACTGTTTTGGACTAGGCGATTATAACCGTTGTATTACTACTATAATAGTTGCAAGATTAATATCTTTTAAAACGGTTCTACTGATGAACGTTGCTTTATATTTAAAAGAAAGGTCACTCACCGTAGGAAACCTTTGTTATCTTCGTGTTCCGCTAACGTTTTGATGCTTGCCATTAACAAATCGTCATAGCCCAGAAATTCATCTAGGATCAATCTTGAAAAAGCATCGCCGAAACATTTGTCGTTTAATGGATCCAAAGTAACGATCTTAACTGGGATGTTCAATCTTTGTCGAGCTGCCGGCGATAATCGCAAGAAACCGTATTCCAACGAATATTCCACGATGTATCCATCTTCTGAAAATATATAATTAATATATAAATCATGAAAAATAAAAATATGATGAATATTTTTTCTGTTTTAAGTAAATACAATTAATCATACTCTAATTCTCACAAATAAAATTCGCGATCATGTATTTTTGTACATTTTTCGTAGATTAATTTAAATATTTCAAAGAATGACTACGTATTTTTTTGTAAACTGTTTCTTAATTACGAACTACTAAGAGTAAATATTATCAATATTTCCACGAGATATTTGAGGAAAACAATATTATTCCACGAAATATTATATTATTTTATTTAAAAAATGTATTTAAAAAATATTTAATTAAAAAACAAATATATATCATCAAATCAGGGGATACACGTACTGTTTCCTTGGCTACGTTTAAACCATTTCAAAGTATACATAATATACTTTGCTGGAGACATTTACCTGCTCTAGCCGTTTTATCAGCATCTGATGCACGATCTTTTAACGACTGTATAACATTATCTTCACTTGAGCGATTCACATCAGGTGCTTCCGTGGAATTACCCTCAGTTTTTGCAAAAGATAACTCTTCATCAGGTGGCTAAAATATATTACTTCGTTATTAATTTAAATATCTAAGATTCTAACTGAAGAATATAACTAGTAAGAGTGAGACAAAATGTATATAAATTATTCCTTAATTTATAAAACGATAAAATATTACAATCTCCATGAAATATTTAAAACAAACAATATTATTCCAAAGTATATATTACATTATTTCATTAAATAATCAATATCTTCAGACCAAGAGATAAACATACTGTTTTCTTAGCTATGTTTAAACCATTCCAAAGTACAGTGGATAACGGTGGGTTCATCGTTGTATTCGTTGTACTTAGATTAGGATTTTCTACCTCTCCAGGAACTGTGGGACTACTTATAATCATATCTTGCTCAGGTAATGTTACATTGCCACGATTCTCTTCATCAGAGACATTTACAGCATCCTGTTCCTCGTCAACAGCCGAAGGTTCAATGTTTATAAACCTGTTATAACAGACAAATATAAATTAATTATGGGTTCAAAAGCATATACTTACATATTCTTATAAAAACCTTATTGATACTTGTATTATTAAATTATATATACGTACAACTTACCCATCTCTGGTTAATATTCCCAAAGTGCCGGTTAAATCGTCAACTTTCTCTTGCCTCAATTTTTCCTCTTTGGCATAACTTTTTTCTATACTGTAATCATCACCACCATTCCTAAGAATTTCGACTCTCAATATACCATCTCGTGGCCACTCATCTCTTATATGCTCTAAACAATTAGTTGGTGCTCGTGAAAATACTATATGGATATAAGCCAATACAAAAAATGCCACTATAGCCTGTGAAAAGAAATTATGTAGAATATTATATCAATATTTGCTAGTTTCTTATTTTTTATCTTATTTTTATGCAAAATATTAATGATTAATATGGGTATTTTAAGCAATCAAGAATATAAAGTTTGACATATTTTCTTTAATATATTTCAAAATACTGCTGATATCAAGGAAAGATTTCATTTTGAAGAAATTCTTAGTAGATTTTCTTATTACTTGTTAGATGCATTTCAAAATATATATAAAAGAAGCATGTAAATCTTTACACATATTCACATTTGCACATACCTTCAAAAGGACGATAAATTCTATAAATCTTCTGACAGGCCTTGGAAATGTTCGTGCGTAGACTAACGCCACTTTGATAAATAACGCATGAAATAATCTATCCCGCACATTAATCAGTGGGTTTTGATTATTGTTATTTCTAGCTATATTCATGTTATTGTTATTTAAAACTGGTCCTATTACACCAGCCAGACTGTGAATATGTGCCACAGCACCGTTTTGATTGTTAGGTACTGCAACTGCAGCACCATCTCCTTGTGGCATTTTGAAATATTACATAAATTGCCTCCGCAAAATAATAATATTCACCAGTGAAATATATATATATATATACATATATATATACATATACATATATATGTATATATATACATATATATATATTTGATAGGAATAGAAAAATTATCTGAAGGCTCTGTTTAGTGATTATTTATACTCTTGTCATGTACCATATGTTGTTGCAAATATTCATATATTTGTCATTTGTCACTTATAATTGTTGAAACAAACATCCTGAAACAATTAAAAATGGCTCGTTAGCACCAACTCATCGAATTAGACCTTCACAAATTCATTTATGGGTTATAATAAAACGTGAAAACGTACAAACAGCATGCTCTGTCTTCGCAGATCTCAAACTTTACGACACAATCTCTACAGATTTTAGCAGAAAGTACTTTCGAATCGAAATTTGTCTACTAACACAATAGTCTTGCGATCTGAATAGTACACAGTTCATAACCTATCAGCTCCGCATCGACGTTTAAACTTTCCGGAAAACGAGGTAGAAAGGAAACCAACAGAGATGTCACTTTGGGAATTTAACTGTGCGAATTTTTTTCTTCTATATCTATACGTCCGATCAGCACAAAGTGTCGCGTATAAAAACTTGTACGCAAAACAGTGATGATGTACATTCTTTAGTTACGTAATTTTCCAGTCGAAAAAAGGAGACAACTCACTCATCGGCGGTCCCAATTAAACATCAATCGCATTATTCCTTTTTGCAACGCACAATAAATACGAACGACGCACACGCAACGGCGATATAAAGATATGTTTTTGGTAATGTTTTCAGGAATAAATCTGGCACGTCATACCTCGTGACGAGATCGCGATAGAAATACCAACGCAACAATTCCAGCGATACCGTTCCGACTTCCGTTAATAATGTTATTCAAGCTGTCGTGAAAAAATCGCGTGCTCCCTTTATAAATATGATACTCATGAAACCGTCACTTCATCGTCGTATGTTTTGATGTAGCATAAATTGCGTTCACTGATCCGACTACCATATACGAGCAGGTATACCAACCAGTTCGCGAAGTGAAGATTTGGCGAAACTTACGGAGAATTCACACGTCGCCTGTGACGTTCGACATTCGCTGTCCAATGAGGGAACCCGCTTACCGGAAATGAAAGCCAAAGTTCCTAACCAAATCAAGTTCTCCTATTGGGCGTCCGAACGTCACGCATTTTCACGCACAGGAAGTAGTGTGAATTATCCATTAACAGGTGTTTGTAGCTGCTAAGCTATTTAAATTCTCGTTAGCGCTACAGCAGCAACACAGCGAGCAGCATTCGTGGAGAAGCGTTCTTGAGAAAACATCATCGAGGTATCACCTATATATTATCGATGTTATCATATTTTTTACAGAATAAAATCAAGCTTTTTCTCTTAAGATACTGAATTTATCCATTTATTTTCCAGATACGTGAAAATATTTTTCAAAATTGGTGTTAATGTATATTACCAATATGTATTCACCATTGTCGCCGCAAGCCAGTCTCAGTTCAGAATTAAGAAAAATTATAAATGAAAGAAACATGTTGAGTACGCGAAGCCGTATGAAAGGTACATCTCTTTTAAAGATTTCTCAGTATAGTACTATCCAAACAGCATACGATATCCCACGGATGTTCTGTAGACATCCTATGGGTGTCCTTAGGACATCCTCAGAATGTTCCTCAGAGATCTGTGTTGCCTGGGTATTGTCTTGCATTATAACATTTTTAGTTTTACATGCTTTGAACGAGGATAATGAAAGGTGCGCAGAAGTAAAGGAGAAGGCACTAAAATCACAAGCCATTCAAGAAATATTAACTACAGAGGTCACCTATTTACGACAATTGGAAATCTTGGTAGAGGTAACTTTCAATGTAATTTTATTTATAAGTTATTTACAGTTTTATCATTAATGCGTGTGTATGTATGTGTTTCTTCAGTTTTTCTTGCAGCCTATTCTCGAAAAAAATTTACTAAATCATCCGCTGTTTATCACTCTATTGGACAACATAAAAACGTTGTATAATGTAAGCGGAGAATTAGTAACAGGATTAAAACATAATCCTGACAATATAGCCGAAGTATTTCACAAGCTCGCACCATTCTTTAAGCTGTATTCAGTTTATGCTTACGATTACACACAAGTGCTAAATCTGCTACAGGTAATTATTGAATATCACGAGAATTTATTGATCTTTAAATGGAATATTGAATGTTTTTTTTTTTTCAAAATTAACACTTAAGAATTATTGATATATTGTTTTCAGATAAGTCAAGAGAGCGATCCTGCCTTCAAAAAGTTTGTATGTGATCAAGAAACAAGGCCAGAAGTAGGTAGAAAATTACCCTCGTTGTTAATTACACCGGTTCAGAGGGTACCACGGTATCAATTACTTGTTAAGGAAGTGTTACAACATACTCCTTACAATCACAAAGAATATAGACCTCTGCAGGGTAATTACATGAATCAAACTTTAATATATACCATATAAACTTTGTATGTGTGTATGATATAATTTGTATTAACATACGCATTTTTGCAACGTGATCTTTATCTTAACTTGATTTTTATTGCAGCATGTTTGGTCGAAATTGAAAAGTCCGCAAGGCATATAAACAGTTTAGTCGCACAGAATGAAGAGACGCAAAAATTGTTGAATCTCCAAAGGTGCATTATTACCTCGATTAATCTAGTTAAACCTGGTAGAATATTAATCAAACAAGGACCATTAATGCGCGTCTCGAGACGAGGCAATACCGCTTATAAGCGGTACTTCGTCCTTTTAAATGACACATTGTTGTATTGTAAAGGCGAGCCGGAAACTTCATTGAGCGTGTCTTGCGTTTTACCGCTAAACAAGTGCAGTTTAACTTGCGTTCTAAGCAAGAAATTGTTCCGTATAACATGTTTACACGAAACATTCCTGCTATACTCGGAACAGGGTGACAGCAACGAATGGATACAGTCTATACAAGGTGCTATCAAAAAGGTATCTCTACTATAAAAAATGTGGTTCTCTTAAAGCTAGTGTATACAAAATGTATTAGCACGCTATATCATTTTTAGTATACTGAATGTAGGCAGACTTTGAGAAAGGAAAGTAGCTCGAGAAAGCCACTCAGACATAATAATGTCAATGAATTTCCATCGGACGATATACCAAAAAAATCTACTAAAAGGAAAAGATCTACGGAAGATAAACAAGTAACAATTATTATTTCTCAAGCGTATTGCTCTATGTTTTTTGCGTACTTCGCATAAAATATGTTGTATATTTGTGTGGACATGATGTAAATTAATCTCTATATTCTACAGGTTCCTTTGGATTCCTCTAATATTATTTATTTTAAAAAGGATAACAAGACGGATGAAGATGATATTCAACAAGAAAATATGTGTTTACCTTTTTGTAGCAAAACCAAGAAATTTAAACGAAGTGAAGATGTCAGCACCGACGATTTTGAAATTCAGACAGAAAGCATAAAACCAAAATTATGTAAAAAAAGGCACAAACAAAGCGTACTTGCATATAAACATTTAGAAAAACCAAGCGGTTATTCTAACAAGGTAAACAAAATTGAAAGAAAATTAATTCGGTATAAATAAGTTTATTGCAATTTGTGACGTTATTTTTTTTCGTCTAGACTTTAGAGTCAATGGAGGACCATAGAACAAGTTTGAGGTCAATCACATCGAATGTTGGAGAACAAGCAGCATCGCCATTTAGGATGATCGCTGGATTCTTTACATACGTAGGAACGTCCATAAAAGATCTTTTTACATTAAAATAAGACATCGTGCAGTGCGTCTTATTACATACATACGTACATAAATAAAAGAGTAATTTATTCGTATTATAATTATATACAAGTATATATCTAATTTGGCTTTCGGGTTAGCGCCGCATCCTTTATAGCTTTCCAACGGTTTCGTGAACATTTCAGTTCTTCAAGGTGAGAGGCAACCCGAAATTATATATGATTGTACATTATTATATTTTCTAAATTATAGAAATAAAAAAATAAATACATATTATGTCTTGATAAATTAGTAATATTAATAATTAACTAATCAATAGCTTGATTCTTTTCGCGGCTTTCCACTCCATGGCCAACTGACACTCGATAATTTCTATCTCTTGATAAGCTAAATCATATATATATATATATATATATATAAATAATAGATTGTATTACAAATTCTATTTTTCTCATCTTTACGTGATAATGTACGACCGGAAATGAAATTCTAATTGAAATCCACTTTGATCCGAATTATAAATATTTTCTACATCATATCGAGTAATATTTTACGTTTGTAGTAAATATATCGCACTTATTTTCTAAATCTGCTTTCTATAATAAAGATGTCAAGATTTTTTCGTAACAAATTTTGTCATCTTTCGAGATATAATAACATATAGTTTGAATATTTTGACTCGGGATTGATGGAAACTTTGAATCCTGGTGCATTTTCCTCTTCTTGCGCTCGAGAAGCCTATCGAGCTATATTAATGTGAATAATTATACCTTTTTCAAGCGCTTCGTTGAAACGATTTAATGTATATTCAGAAATGCGTTTTAATTTTTCATATCTATTACCACCTCCATTGATGTAGTTCTCCCATCATCGTAGCTGTGGTATCGACGTAACTTCCTTGAATTTTTACTTGACTCCTTCAAGTGATCTTGGTCTTGTTTTACCGCTCCTCCAATACTCCATAGCTTGTCTTCTATAGTCATTCGATATTGTTGCCTCAACGGTACAAACAACTTCTTCCGGAAGATATATTTAATTTTCATCTTTTTCTGATAATCAACTATTTCTGCTTCAAGAATTTCATATTCATTATAAAAATCTAAAATATTTTCTTCTTTCCATTGAAATTCTTTTTCAATAAAACAGTTTATTAATTATACTAATAACATAATTTGGTTCTCACATTGATTAACAATAGTGATAAATTGATGAGAAAAGTCATTGTAAAAGATAGAATTAATGTTTGGGAACGTCTTTTGAATTAAAAAGGAAACATATATAGATATTTTTAAAAATTTAGGAGCAATCACGTAAAACATATATTACAGTCTTCTTGTTTAATTACGCGTACAGTTTTCGTTACGGCGTAATTGTCTCATGTACAGAGGTTGCATCAACGGATCCATTACAACGGGTTGCCTACCCAATTCATGATGCGTATCCGTTGAAACTATGATAATCAGGAACGCTACAACTTCGTTGGAAAAATATGCGAGTGATTATATCGACAAATCCGAAATTACCATCTGGACACGCGCACCTTTAGGCGGACAACCCGTCATAATGGATCATATGTTGATGCAACACTCTGTACATCGGCCACGTTGACTCTTCGCTAACAAATCTTTCGCGCAACTTTTCCAACTCGTTATAATTCTGCTATCCCAGTACGCTTATCAGGTTTTCCAGCAATCCGTTACTGCGATCAACAATAAAAACTCACTCACATCGGTACTTCACCACGGTAGCCTTATTATTCGACATTCTGAGATAATTACCAGAGTTCAGTTTAATAATCTAAATGTATAGTTGAAGCAACTAAATCTTGATTCTTAAAATTATATATTTATCTCATCTAATAAAATTATTTCGTAACTGTTGCCGAACGTTTGGCCTGCAATATTTCACCAAATTATTTAGTAACAGTTACTAACTTTTGTTATATATTACCAAATCCTTCTTTCATTGTAAAGTCGTACAGTTGGTCACATTGTGAAGCGCGCGGATCAAAAGTCCGACGCAGACCGCAGCGAGCAGGAGAAGGGAAAGGAAGAGAAAACACGACACTCCTCGATACACGTTGTGAACGGACGCATAAAAAATCGTTATAAGAAAACGTTATAAGAAATCGTTGTAGTAAATCGTAATAAGAATCGGTGTAAGGAAAGAGTAATATTCGAAAGCTTTTATTAAACTTGTATCGTTGTACGTTTGCAGTAAAGTGCACCTTGATTCCTTTTACGTCTACTACGATAACGATAGAAGAAGAAACGAAAAAATACGAACAGAGCGAGACGTTTCTGCACACGTTCTTATTAGTCTTGACTGCGACTAATCTGTATAAAACGTGTCCCGATTCATTTCCGTACTTTAGGAGACGCTGACTTACAAGGAAAACAAATCCACAAGGAGGCATAGTACGGTAAGATTGCCTTTTTCTATTATACAGCCACAAACTTAGAACCGAATTAAGCCGTTTTTTGTTGAGACCAGTTTCCTCAGTATTTAACGTTTAGCATATCGTCCTTTCGCATTGGAATACTGAAGGAGTTCCAAGCGATCGGAATCGGACGGGCAACGAAATTTCATAGCTTCGAATTTCACAGACTTAAGACTTCTGGTCTTTCGCTGCAACTGCTGCCTTCGTTGGATGACGTCAAGAGCGAGAAAACGCATGTCGAGAATTTTTGCGTTATATGTTCAAATAAAAAGATACTCACAAAGTGACATTTGTGATCGATTCAGCATACTTGTGAAATTGTCCGAACACTTTTCTTTTACTCGAACAATCAATAAACAGTCGTAAACTTAACATTGACAACATCATGGGAAAAGAAGTTAGAAAAGAAGGTTCCCTGTCAAGTTAATTTCGTGACTATTTATTGTTTGTTCGAAGAAAAGAAAAATGTTCGAACAATTTTACAGATAGGTTGAATCTATCACAAGTATCGTTTTGTGAGAATACTTTTTTATTTGAACGTATAACGCAAGAATTCTTGGCATGTGTTTTCTCGCTTCTGACGTCATCAGATAAGGATAATTGCAACGAGAGATTAGGAACCTTGGCAAGAAACGTGGACATAAACCTAGAACTTTTTAATGTCGGCTTTCTAAGGATTAAAAGTCCAGGCGTCTAAGCCTATACAGAGAAAAGGGTTTCTTTAGATTTAGTATTTCTATTTATTTGACTAAAATTTGTTCTATAGAAACAACATATACTTATATGAAATATTATTTGTTTGAGTAAAAATTTTATTGTCTCATTCAAGAAAATTCTATTATTTAGCAGAAAGAACGCTATTATTTCAAATAATATTTCTTAACCAAATAAAATATTATTTGGTTATAATAAATATGTAAAACAAAACAAATAATTCCTTTATAAGAAAATTATCTTTTACTTCAAACAAATTTTTTATTTTAGGTAATGATACATATTCGTTAAAAAGTCTAATAGTTGTACTTATTGATCGAAACACTAGTTTCTTTGGAGCATGTCAATGACAAAATTTGTTTGGATGCAATAGAATTTATTAAATTTGAAGACATTTTTTTCTCAGCGTATATAGCGCGATTATTGCAAGGCGTAAACCTCACACCATCAACTTCATATGTCATATGAAATATCGTAACCAATGTAAATTTTTTTCTTTTAGTCGATTAGAGCATCTATTGCGTATTTTTAACGTTAATGCAAGCTAAATTGCGACCTTGCTGATACCGCGCGAATATCACAAACATGGAATTATCGGTTCTTTTAGCCCGTATTCTGTACTCACTTTTATCGATAAAAGTGCCTCTAAAAGTAGTTTAGGAACCACCTGACTGGCTGAGAAGCCACATTTAAGTTACTTTTATTGATATATAAAAATAAATTCCGAGTATGGATCTTTGTTGTGCGCTCATCACGCATAGCACGACACGTTTTTTTTCGCAAAATTTGTTTTATCTAACGTACACTCGGTCGCAGGTCGCAGGAAATATTAAGATAAACTATAATATCTTACAATATAAGGGCCGTAAAGGGACCTTCTGCTCTATTTATAAATAATGAATAAGTAAAGTAGAGAAGAGGATCGGTTTGACGTGACAGATCTAGCGAGATTTTGAAATCCAAGAAATAGCTTCAGTGTATATTGCTTAAACATTTTTATTTTTCCGATAATTTTTAAATATTGCGTCTAATATTAACGACTGATTTAACATGTTTTACATTCGTACGCCGTAAAATCTCATAATTATACACTCACTTCTGAATAACACGAATAACACTGAATTGAACTAGTTTTTTTAATAATGCCAGAATAATTTATAAGAACATCTAGACATGTTAAGCTTTTGGGTTGTCGCTCACTATGGTTGTCCCTCTTTGATGACGTCACAACGAGAAATCATATGTCAAAAAAAAATTACAATATATATAGAAATAAAAGAATATACGCACAGAGTGGATCGATTCAGTACACTTGTAAAAATTGTGTGAAAATATCCGTACGCTTTCTTTTAACTTCAACAATCAATAAATAGCCGAAAATGAGTGTAACATAAAACTTCATTTTTCTAAATTATTCTCATAATTTTCTTATAATTTCTTTTCTCATAATTTTTATTACGTTAATATTACGGAATATTACGGCTTTTCATAGTTATTTTATTTTTTAAAATCTCAACAAAAGATAGTGTTATCGCAATACTTACGATGTAATTTTTGTAATTATTAGGTGCGTAAAGTAATTTAACTGCACGTGCAGCCAAGCGTTATCGTTCTACAAAATAATTGGTCATATTCCATGGCCAGTTAACGGTCTTTTCTTCTCTTTCTCACAAACGAATGAACTTTTGTTAGTAATATTCAGCATTAATTGTTTAACTAATTTGCAGCAACTCATAATATATCATAATATATCACACCATTTATATCCCACCAAATAGACAATGAAACTTCTTTTGCTCGAATATTAGATTTCGTGGTCGATGTCAATGGTTAACTAAGGTCAATCCATGATTTCCTTCTTTTAAGGTTGTCGTACAAAACCCATTTTTCATCGCCAGTAATAATTTTGTAAAAAAAATCTTTCATTTTATATCTTGTTAACAAAGACATCGCCGTGTTGAACATTCTCTGCTTGCTGAGCTCGTGTGGAATCTATCGGCCTGGTTTTTGAATTTTTCCCCACTTATGTAAGCGAACGAAAATTGATTATAAGGTTACTCCTAGTTGAAATCTAAGCTCATCTTGAGCTTGAGCGGGATTTCCATTCAACAATTGCTCAAACTCCACGTTTTCACATTTTTTCGACGCGACAGAACGTTCTCCATCGGTAAGACAGAAACCATCACTTTAAAAGTGTTGATACTACTTTTTAAAAATTTTATACGTTTGTAATGCACGCGCTGTAAACCTTCCATCAAAGCTGAGTAAATCATATTTGTAGCCTCGACAACATTTTTTTTTAACCACAAAATAGAATGAATACAATATATGATATGCATATATGTAATACTACTATATTGCGTAATGTATGATATATGTAACACTTACATATAGCCGAAGTGAGAAAGAAGTCCTGTTTCGCAACAACGATGCGGGAATATATTTTCCTCTCTTTCTGTGTATATTATAAAAGTAATGTGCATGTGTCGGATTGACGTCTCCGCCACTAGAAAAATAAAATATATTTGAATATATATATATATATATATATATATTAGGTTGGGGAAAAAGAAATCCATTATTTTTTCGGTAGATGATTGTAGTGATCGATATCTCGTAAAGTATCGATCAAACAATTTCAGATTTATGCTCGTTGGAAAGGTGACATTTCGCACTAAAAAAATTCTTTTGTTGTTTTTTGTTTGGTCCTTTCAGTTGTGAGTTACAGGGTGTTAAAAATGGAAGTCAACAAAGAGAAAATTCAGTACATTTTACAGTTTTTCTTTGATAAAGACGAAAATGCAAGCCAGGCGGCTGTAATTGTGAATGGTGTTTATGGTGCCGATACTGTAACAGCCAATTACGTGCAATTTTGGTTTCGTCGATTCCGTTCAGGTATTTTTGATGTTAAAGATGCACTTCGCACAGGTAGGCCCATCGTCAAAAATGTCGATAAAATCACAGAGATAATCGAAGTTGACCGTCATGTTAGCAGTCGTAGCATCGCCCAGGAGCTAAAGATCGACCATAAAACAGTTTTAAACCATTTGCACAAAGCTGGATTCAAAAAGAAGCTCGATGTTGGGTGCCACACCAATTAACACAAAGAAACATGATGGATCCATCTGCGAAGCCTTGGCCAAACGGAATGAAATCGACTCATTTCTTAAACGGATGGTGACTAGGGATGAGAAATGGGTCACATATGACAACATTGTGCGAAAACGATCGTGGTCAAAGCGCGGTGAAGCAGCTCAAACGGTGGCCAAACCAGGACTAACGGCCAGGAAGGTTCTGCTGTGCATTTGGTGGGACTGGAAAGGAATCATTTATTATGAGTTGCTTCCACATGGCCAAACAATAAATTCGGATCTCTACTGTCAACAACTGGACCGTTTGAAGCTAGCGATTGACCAGAAACGGCCAGGATTGGCCAACAGGAGAGGTGTTGTGTTCCATCAGGACAACGCCAGGCCACACATGCTTATAGTGACTCGCCAGAAACTCCGGGAGCTTGGTTGAGAAGTTTTGATGCATCCACCATATAATCCGGCACTAAGCGATTACCATGTTTTTCTTGCATTGCAAAACTTCCTTAGTGATAAAAAAATTGGCATCAAGAGAAGATTGTGAAAATCGATTACTAGAGTTTTTCGCCAATAGGGACCAAGACTTTTATGAGAAAGGCATTATGAAGCTACTTTTAAAACGGCAACAAATTATAAAACAAAACGTTGCATATTTGACCCAAATCGGACAATCCGAAACATGTTAAATAAAGTCTTGAAGTTCACGTAAAAATAATGGATTTCTTTTTCCCCAACCTAATATATCATTTGATCGCCGCGTCTGCGTACTACGGTCAAAATACATATGTCGGGCAGCATCTGTCCTTCCCTTCTGAGACGGCTCACTCTTACAGGCAGCATAGGACGACTAGCTATTTGATGCATTCCACTTAACGCTCGCAACGATCATTCTATCCTTATTTCTCTTGGATGTTAAACAAACATCTAAGAACGCATCTATAGTAGTATGACATATTGACACTTTATTTTAAAATCCACTAAACGACAGGAAGATGTTTGAATTTAAAACGGAGTTATGATTAACTTAAGGTACAAACACAGAATTAATTTGCACATTTAATAGTTCAATTGTCCATTATTTATTGTCGCAATCAGTGATCAATACACGAGGGTAGTGCGAGAAAAAGGAGGAAAACAGAGCACATCATATCCAATAATATACCAATACTTGCACGTAACGATGGATACGACACTAACGGTGACACCATACCTATTGAACATCGGTTATTCTCTATTGGCTACAATCATCACCACGCTGATTGTACTACATTATTATATTGAGACTAGGCATGCGGTGCGCCTTTCATTGAAGTTACCACGTACGTAAGGAGTTTAACGAATAGGACCTCAATAAGAACTTCCAAAAACCTCCACCGTGATACGTCCCATTTTATGCGTGATTCATAATCGTTTGTTGTAATTAAACGCGCTGAAACTGTTGTCTATTTTCTTTCAGATCCACCACGTGTACCTATTATTGGTCATGCCTTAATATCCCTAAAATTTAACCCCGAAGATATATTAACCAAAGGCCTTGAATATCTCGTTGAATACGGATCCGTAATGTCGTTACATTTAGGAACCCGAGCTGTTATCTTCTTAACAGATCCGCAAGATATAGAGATAATTTTAAACAGCCCTGAGCACATCGACAAACCCGTGGAGTACAGGTAAATAAATATAATTAATTAATTCACAGGCAGGATAGATAGTCACAATAACATCAAGATGTCAAGATAAGGATCGAGTCGTGATCGAATAATGAGTTTCATAGTCATTTTCTCGTAATTTTGATATCATCTTGACATCATCGCGATTTTCTGTTCTGAGTTGGATCATTAATCAAAGTGAGCTCATTTAGTCTTACATTTCTTCGCACTCAAAAGCGCTAGTGATGCAATGAATCTCGATTCTATCCCTAAAATGATCTTCATCGCTATAGTTTCTTCAAACCGTGGCTCGGAGACAGCATGCTATTCAATAACAGCGCCAAGTGGCTACAACACAGAAAAACAATATTAGCCACAGTTCACATACAGATATTGAAGACATATGTGTCCCTGTTTTATGAGAATAGCCTGGATCTGGTGAAGCGTCTTGGTGATAAAATCAGCCAACAATTTAATTGCCATAATTATTTATCGGTGGTAACTATTAACATGTTGATAGAGACAGCAATGGGAGTTAAGAGGGAAAAGGTTCAAAATATCGGATTTGACTATGCAATGGCCGTGATGAAGTAAGCGTTTTTGTCGTTATCACTTCGGAACTATGCATTTAATGTTTTATTGTTTCGTATTTTAATACCACAGACTGAGCGAGATCGTGCACAAACGACAGTTCGACGCGTCTTTACGATTTGATCAGTTGTTCAGATTTTCGAAACTTGCCAAACTGCAACAGGAATTGCTCAATACCGTCCAGTCGGCGACGAAAATAGTGATTCAGGAGAAATTGAAGGATATCGAAGAAAAGCAGATAAAAAATACGCATAAAATCGAGGCGGAAAATTCAATGGAGAAAACGGAGAACGGCATGAACACGACCAATTATAAGATGCATTATGCGAGAGATGATATCGACGATATGGATGAAAACGACGTGCGCGAGAAGAAGCGACTCTCTTTCTTGGAGATGTTGATAGATATGAAAAAGAACGGACAGATGATCGATAAGGAGATTTCGGATAACGTCAACGCTGCCTTGTTCGTGGTGTGAAATCTTTTTCACAGCAGTAACGCATTTTTAAATTTACTAAGTTTCTCTAGTCAACCAAATCGAATTCCATGTTTTGCAAAAGCATCACGCACGCTGACATATTAACGCGTCTTGTCGAAAAATAGAAGATAATGAACGAAAATGTTGCAGGGTCACGGCACCATAGCAACGACCTCGAGTTTCGTGCTCTGCGTACTGGGATATCTTTCGGAAATTCAGGTAATTTTATTCGCGATCAACTATTCTTACATGGAGAAATTCATTTAGTTGACTTAAACTTCTTGTTTGGATATAATCTGAAGTGAAAATGAAAAAGGTTTGGGCCAGAGGAGGCATAAAAAAGAAGATAACGGCCACGGGATAGTTACAAAAAGGCTCATCTTATTGCTTATAACATACGCTATTAGATTAAGTTAAGTTCGGAACGAATTGAAAATATTTATTCCACGAGAGAGAGAGAGAGAGAGAGAGGGGGGGGGAGGAGATGCGGAAGAAAGATTTCATTATATTAAGTATGAAAAGTCACTCAAACTCAAATGATTCGATAGTCACTCCATTTTTGGAATGAAACTTCAATCCATGACACATAGAGTGATAATATTCACTCCATATCACAAAGTAGAAGAATTCATTCCATAAGAGCGAAAAGCCATTCTAATTCTAGTTACTTCGTTATATTCCATTTTCCAAGTGGATTTTATTCAAAAAACTTGCAAAATTTGAACTCATAATAAAACGATGTCACTATTAATATTAATTTGCATTGCGCAGGCACGTGTACACGAAGAATTGGACTCAATATTCCATGACAGTGACAGACAGTGTACTTTCCAAGATACAATAGAAATGAAGTATCTAGAGAGAGTTATACTAGAAACGTTGAGGCTCTTTCCTACAGTACCACTATTCGCTAGGAAGCTTAATAAGGACATAAGAATAGGTAATCAGACCCGAATAAGTTCGATTGTGTCACCGGTCGAACGGTGTATATTTTAAGTACACGCATTATATAAATTGAGCTAACAAGGAACAGATTTTTTTTTTCATTTTCGTGTTGCCGAAAATTCCTAAGACTAAAAAGGTAAGATATAAAAAAAATCATCTTTATGTTAAAGTTACAGGTAATTACGTTCTACCAAAGGATGCTACTATTGTAATATTTCCATTCGTGCTACATCGTACAGAAAAATATTACCCGAATCCGTTAGTTTTTAATCCGGATAATTTCCTACCGGATAACATGCGGCAGAGAAATAACTACGCATACATTCCCTTCAGCGCCGGTCCGAGGTAAAGAAGAATGTGTATATACCGAAACATCTTAGGACTTATTATCAACGTGGCACGAATAATATTGAATATACTGTCATATCTGTTAATTAATAATCTGTTAAGTTTTGATCTTTTTTTCCGTAGGTCGTGCTTGGGACGAAAATACGCTATGTTGAAATTAAAAGTTTTGTTGTCGACAATATTGAGGAATTATCGCATTACTTCTGATGTGTCATATCAAGACTTTCTTCTGCTAGCTGAGATTGTCTTGAAGAGGGCTGATGGATTCCACATCAAAATTGAGCAACGAAAAAAGAAATCACGAATTTGAAATAAATTACACAGGCATAAATAAGACCAATTTTGTCAGATCGCGTCGGCACAGTGCTGTCGACACGGACTGTAACGTCGAAATACGTACGTCAGCAACATGCTGTCGACGGACCGCAAAGTGTTAATAAGCTATCTGGCATATGAAAAATATGCTGGAAAAATATGACGATCGTTTAATAAACTTGTTGGAAAAACGCAAATTGCAGATGTCGTTCAGCAGAAAATCTGAAAACAGTTGCAATGCTGTTGTCAAAGCAGCGCAAAGTAATTACAAAACTTTTCCTGGCAAACGCAGTCAATCATTTCATGTACATAATATATATATATATATATATATATATAAGAGTATAATATATATAAGAGTATAATATATATATATATATATATATATATATATATATATATT